GATTAAAATCCCAGCTCTGGTAATGTCTCCTTGTTATATATAATAAATAGATTAATAATCCCAGCTCTGGTAATGCCTCCTTGTTATATATAATAAATAGATTAATAATCCCAGCTCTGGTAATGTCTCCTTGTTATATATAATAAATAGATTAATAATCCCAGCTCTGGTAATGTCTCCTTGTTATATATTATAAATAGATTAATAATCCCAGCTCTGGTAATGTCTCCTTGTTATATATAATAAATAGATTAATAGTCCCAGCTCTGGTAAAGTCTCCTTGTTATATATAATAAATAGATTAATAGTCCCAGCTCTGGTAAAGTCTCCTTGTTATATATAATAAATAGATTAATTATACCAGCTCTGGTAATGTCTCCTTGTTATATATAATAAATAGATTAATAATCCCAGCTCTGGTAATGTCTCCTTGTTATATATAATAAATAGATTAATAATCCCAGCTCTGGTAAAGTCTCCTTGTTATATATAATAAATAGATTAATAATCCCAGCTCTGGTAATGTCTCCTTGTTATATATATTAAATAGATTAATAATCCCAGCTCTGGTAAAGTCTCCTGGTTATATATAATAAATAGATTAGTAATCCCAGCTCTGATAATGTCTCCTTGTTATAAATAATAAATAGATTAATGATCCCAGCTCTGGTAAAGTCTCCTTGTTATATATAATAAATAGATTAATAATCCCAGCTCTGGTAAAGTCTCCTATTTAAATATAATAAATAGATTAATAATCCCAGCTCTGGTAATGTCTCTTTGTTATATATAATAAATAGATTAATAATCCCAGCTCTGGTAATGTCTCTTTGTTATATATAATAAATAGATTAATGATCGCAGCTCTGGTAAAGTCTCCTTGTTATATATAATAAATAGATGAATAATCCTGGTTATATATAATAAATAGATTAATAATCCTGGTTATTTATAATTAATAGATTAATAATCCTGGTTATTTATAATAAATAGATTAATGATCCTGGTTATATATAATAAATAGATTAATAATTCTTAGATTTTACTATTAACATGACGTAAAGTCATGATTTTATTAATGACACGGAGGCTCCTATTATGCTTCTCTTTCTTTAATTTTCCCTCAGCAGCGAAGAGAGAAATGAATGTAAAAGAGAAAAAATAGCATATCATTAACATATATACATATTCAACAGTGCTACATGAGGGAACCACCCCCTTTCAGTATGTAAGGTGTAGCACTCTCTTCCTCTTCCTCTTTCTGTAGCGATCCGAAGACCAGACAAAACCGAACCAGAACTCTGAACTGAAACTGTAACCTCGGGAAGTTGTACATCCTTTCTTAGGGGAAACGGTGGAGCCGACCTTGAAGCTCTTTTCAATCACTCTGACGTGGTGAATCAGGCTAAAAGAGAGGAGAAATATGGTAAAATCTCGCTTGATAACTGGTTGTAACATATCCCAGCGTCTCTATAGTCCTCTAAGTCTGAGAGACATGAACGTCATAGCGTCTTGACATACAAACTCGATAGCTAACAGATAGAACCATAACTCAGTAAACTATTGTCGTCTACATCTGAAAAGGAAATACAATGTCACAACGCCCTACAGATAGCGTCAAACTAGCCTAGGCATATAAAAGAAGGAGTGGGGCAGGGGAGAACCACCTTGATAGTATGAAGAAGAGCTCCGGCTCGATCTAATCCTGTATGGATGAGGAAATCCCACCACTTCCACCCCAGGGACGGAGGGAATAATACTCGCCTCCGTGTCATTAATAAAATCATGACTTTACGTCATGTTAATAGTAAAATCTAGGAATTTTATTAAAGACACGGAGGCTCCTATTATGCTATTTTAAAGCTGAGCTATAATCTTATCAGAAAAATGCTGTATAGGTCTAAAGTAGAAGTTCCGGAAAGTGGATTCCGTAGACCAATCTGCTGCCTTCAAAATGTCTTCCAAACGACATCCAGCCGCTGAAGCTTTTGAGGCCATGGCACCCCTGACAGAGTGGGATGCTAGTAGCTAGTAGCCATGTGCGAGTGTTGGGGTAGATACAGGCAGATGCGGTTTCTTCAGAGAGATGAACAGGGGTCCGTCGTTGGATGGTCGTAGAGTAGAGGTGCGAGCCTCGTATTCCTTCAGATATGATATTGGGCACAGGTTGGGTAAACTGGTGATTCTTGGATAGAAAACCTGTTTGGTAGCTGATTTCGTCCTCCGCGAGATATCGAATGACACTCCCTCCGTAGTGAACGTGCGGGCTCGCCAGTCCAAGGCTCTTACGTCGGATACCCGTTTGCAGGATAGCAGACAGAACAGCATGAGTAGTTTTGCCGATAGTTGTTTAAAGGACAACTCAATGTTAGCGGGCCAGCCATCTAGGAGTCTGAACACGCAGTTGACGTCCCAGAAGGATCCATATCTGGATGAAGGGGGACGTGAGAAACGGATACCCTTAAGCAGGCGACAGACTAGAGGGTTCTGTCCGAGTGGGAGTCCGTCCACCTGGTTATGTCCAGCTGAGATAGCGGAATGAAATACGTTGACTGTGCGGAAAGCCTTGCCTGATTCGAACAGGTGCGTCAGGAAGTCCAACACCGAACTCACAGGGGCTGATACAGGATCCAACGATCGTTCCAAACACCAATCCTAAGAATTCCATTTGTTGTGAGGGAATTAGAACCGATTTCTTCCAGTTTAAAAGGAAGCCCAGGTTCTGGATAAGATGTAGGGTCCACTTTAAATGATCTAGCAGGAGGGACCGTGTTCCGGAGAGTATGAGGATGTCGTCCAGGTAAATGATAAGGCGGACTCCGTGTAGTCTGAGGAAGGCCACCACTGGTTTGAGTATCTTTGTGAAACACCAGGGGGCGGAGGACAGACCGAAGGGAAGGCATGTGAACCGCCACTTCCTTGTTCCCCAGCGGAACTGGAGTAGGTCTCTGTGTATTGCCGCTATCGGGACTGTCAGGTATGCGTCCTGCAAGTCTAGTTTGACCATCCAATCTCCGGGCAGGAGCAGGTCTCTGAGGCAATGAATGCCTTCCATTTTGAAGTGTCGGTATTGGACAAAGGCGTTTAGGGCTCGTAGGTTTATAACCGGGCGGACCCCGCCTCCCTTTTTTGGCACTAAAAACAGGTTACTCACGAAACCTGGGGTGTCTAGAGGGATCTCCTCTATGGCCTTCTTGGTCTGTAATTCTCTGATCTCCGCAGAGATGAGATCAAGGTGTGATATTGGCATGTGGATCGCCCTTGGGCGAGTGTCCTGAATGGGGAAGGCTGTCAGTTCTAGGTGGTAACCCTCTACCGTCTGTAACACCCAACTGTCGGACGTGATCATAGCCCAAGCCCGATAGAACAGGGCCAGTCTGCCCCCCACAGCTATGGGGGAAGAATGGGGAAACATGGTACTTACCATAAGGGCGTTTTCCTGTGGGTGCTCCTTGACTGCCGCGGGAATGCCAAGGCCGTCCTCGTGAAGGAAAGAACGGGGTAAAGGACCGTTCCTGGCTCGGTCTCTGTGTGTTGAAGGAGCCTCTTCCCGGTCTGGAAAAGCCCCGGGGGTTGCGGCCGGGTAGACGGCTCCTACCTCTACTGGCCCCTCCAAAAACCTTTGGGCTAAACACCCGTTTGATGGAGGACTGGGCTTTGTCCAAAGCCGTAAAGGTCTTGACGTAGGAGCCCAGGTCCTTAACAAAGGACTCTCCGAATAGTAAGCCTTTTGCAGAGGCACCGGGTTCGTTGGGTGCCATGCTCGCAAGCTTGGGCTCTATCTTTAGCAGGATGGCCTTCCTGCGTTCAGTAGACATTGCCGTATTGGCGTTGCCTATCATACACACTAGGCGTTGGAACCATCCAGACGCCACCTCGAAGTCTAGGGGTGCCCCGCTCGATTGAGCCGCTTCAAGGAGCTCATACAGCTTGGTGACCGGGCCCAGTGTGTCGAGGAACTTGTCCTGACAGTTTCGCAGTGAGTAATCAAGGCCCTTTTTGGGCTTCCAACCGGTCTTGGCCAGAAACTGCACAATTTGTGGGTCGACTTCAGGGTTTTTTGCCACTGCATCGGGTATGATAGGGCGGGGGCATTCCGCCCTTAGTTTGTTACGACCCTCTTGCGAGAGGGATTTGCGGACTCTGAGGGCCAGGTATTGAGCGATGTGCTCAGCGGGCTCCCACTCAGCAGAGCGAGGGTGCCTGAGGTTGTCTGGATCGAACGCCAGGGTATCTTTAGCGTCACGGGATGACTCTGCCTCTGGAGTCCCCGATTGTCCTTTGGCCTGAGCCGGTCTAGACGGGAATTGTGTTCCCGGGAGATCTTCGTCTCCTGAGGTCTCGTCCCCGTAGGGATCTGAGAACTGGTTGTCTGACCCTTCCTCCCCATCTTCTTCTGAGTCAGACAATAAGTCATGGGCCCGTGCCCTTTTCCACTCTCTGGCTGCCGTAGCCCGCCATCATCGACAGCCTGAAGCGTGTCAGTCAAACTAGGCTTTACCTGGGTGTGAGAGGGGTCATGAGTGTGTTTGCGCTTGCCTAGCGCTTTACCTCCTGAGGTAGTCCCTTCAGGGGAAATGTGAGACAGTCCTGGGCCAGATTGTGCAGGGAGGGCCTGCCTAAGGGCCTGTGAGATGGACTGTGATATACTGGAGGACATAGCTCCCATGGCAGAGGAGATGGCCTTGCTAATGGAGTTGGACATAGTGGTGTCCAGAAAGCTTTGGAACTCTTCAGAGCCCATGAGGCTAGGGTCAGCCTGGGAATCAGAGCTTGTGGTGCCCCTAGGGGGAATAGGATGGTCAGGTAAATCACCACTAGCAGACTGCATGATGAAATAAGGGTAAGAGTAAAAGCAGTGAGGAGAAAAGGTGCTGGATTGCTTAATCCACGCACAGGATAGATAGTAGATGAAAATACCCGAGTCCTATATGGGTGGCAGGAGTAGAGCCGCGTGTAGCTTCCACGGAACCGAAAAAACGGCGAGTATGGGGCTTAAAATGGCCACCGGCACGTCTGGCGACAGAAAAACCAAAAAGATGGCCGCCGCGTGTGTTCCGCGCATGCGCGGCGGAAATGTCACGGAAATATACCCAGCCTTAGGGGGCCGAAAAAACGGCCGAGGTGGGTGAGGGGGACGCGGGGAGAACCCGGTCAGCACGGGGATGGGAGCCAAAGCAACCCCAAGCTATGGGAAAAGGGAGAAGGCCCTAAGAACCCCCCAGTAATGAAAAATAGAAGTACAGAGAAATCTTATAGTGTATAAGGAATATAAGCAAGCCCTGAATAGCTAAACAGGGGATAGTCCAAGTACATACAAGTGACACATATGTATAGCAAGTAAGGTAGTAAAAAGGTACTTAGCTGGTTTGAGGGAGCAGCGAAGAAAGAGGAAGAGAGTGCTACACCTTATATACTGAAAGGGGGTGGTTCCCTCATGTAGCACTGTTGAATATGTATATATGTTAATGATATGCTATTTTTTCTCTTTTATACTCATTTCTCTCTTCGCTGCTGAGGGAAAATTAAAGAAAGAGAAGCATAATAGGAGCCTCCGTGTCTTTAATAAAATCCTGGTTATTTATAATTAATAGATTAATAATCCTGGTTATATATAATAAATAGATTAATGATCCTGGTTATTTTTAATATGATAACCATCAACATTACTCATTATTATTTTTAATCTATGATATTTATTATTGATTCACTTAACCTTATTATATTTATTTAATTTAATGTATAATCTATATTCATTATTTTTTATTATTTATATTTTTTTAATTTAATTTAATGTATAATCTATATTCATTATTTTTTATAATTTATATTTATTTTTTATTTATTATATATTATTTATTTATTATTTTTTATTATTTATTTATCTTGAGTTTTAATTATGAATTCTTTTTTTCTATTCACAACTTTACTTCTTTCCAATTTATAAACACAATAATATAAACTAATTATTAATTAATGTCTAAATATAAGTATACTAATAACACAGTTAGCACACATATTTATTACAATTGATTATTATTATTATTAATAATTCATTTAGATTGGAAATCCATTGAATATATTTGCACTAATTCAAATAAACACAACTGCACATTTGCACATATTTGTTTTATTGTATTTCTTAAATGTATCTATTTATTTAAAATATACATATGTATGCACTTTGAGGATATCGAATAAGGACTTGTTGGAGAGTTATGTTTACAGAATGGAGACACACTGGAAGGTATATATATACTGAGGAGGACTGCGAACCCTGTAACCCATGAAAAAAGGAAGTGACGCGACGACATTTGTGGCCGAGTCACATTGAATTCCAGACCGGAAAAAGCATTATGGACCTGGTAGTACAAGGCAACCGGAAGTGACGCGACGGAACTCCGATCGCGCCATATACTTGCACCAGATTGGACAATAAAGAAACTGGCGGGAAATTCAAGCCTTTTAAGGATGGAAAAACAGAGAACTGTTTGAAGCTGACTGAGGAATCCGTTTTTTATCGGCGAAACGCGTTTTGGCTCTTAAAGTGGACCCATATATATTTTTTAGGTCACATATTCTTATATTGTATTTTTTTTTACTGTTTTTTATTTTCTAGATATACTAGTGTATTTTTATAAATATTATTTTATAATAAATTGTTCCCATTTTTTACTTATCTGCTGTATCCTGTATAAGTGATTCAAAGGGAGAGGCAGTGTCACCCCACAATCTGACACTAGGCAAAAATACTTAGAGCCGGTTACCAAAGGCTCTAAACCAGGTGAGCATTTCTACTTTTACTTATATGGACATCATTTCCATTTTGAGATGCTACACTTACTATAAAACATCTGTGTCTTTTATATATTCGGTGGAGAATATCTTCCTCAGGAGAGAGGGGTCGTGTGATCTACCCAAAAAGACACAGACGCGCAGAAGTTTAGAGCCTAACACTAGAAAAGGCTCTAACAAATGTGAGTGTATATATATATTCACTAATTCACCGATCGCCCCATTTTAAGACATATTACACTATCATCTGTATATGTTCCTTCTGTTCTTCTTTTTTATATATATCAATTGTACCAAGAGAAACGAAAAAGGGTAAGAGTTCCAAATATTCAGTGAACGCACTTACCTCGCACTAATATAGCGCTGCACTCATCTAAGGAACTTTAGATTTGGATGGTGGCAACATCATCCAAACCAAAAGTTTTTTTGTGTTTTGGTGATTATATTTAATAAATAGATTAATAATCCTTGTTATATATAATAAATAGATTAATGATCCCAGCTCTGGTAAAGTCTCCTAGTTAAATATAATACATAGATTAATTATACCAGCTCTGGTAATGTCTCCTTATTATATATATTAAATAGATTAATAAAAAATAAAAAAATGTATGCGAGACGAGTGGCGTCGCCACTAATAGAGAGGGGGGGAGGATAGCACCAGAGGCATCAATAGCTCCAATATGTGTATAGTTATGAAGTACAGGACCATTTATGTATATAGTTAGGACAACGCACACAGGGCATCACACCAACATAGACGGAGAGATGCACCCAGCAACGCACTAAAGTCAGGGAGGCGACGCCAGAAACACGGGGGCGCACGGTTAGGATCAAACAGGGGGAATCACCCTCCTTGAGCAATAGTGATGTACCCTAATATATTGTTATTACAACAGAAGCACTGCAACAATGCATATTGTAACCCCTCGAACAGGGGAATGTGACCAAGAGAAAATGTATTGTGATACTTGTGAACTTGTCCCCCACCCCTTTATCCTTTTCTCTTCTGTACCCTAACAAAAAACTGTTTAATAAAAAGACGATTGAAAAAAAAAATAGATTAATAATCTGGTAATGTCTCCTTGTTATATATAATAAATAGATTAATGATCCCAGCTCTGGTAAAGTCTCCTTGTTATATATAATAAATAGATTAATAATCCCAGCTCTGGTAATGTCTCCTTATTATATATATTAAATAGATTAATTATACCAGCTCTGGTAATGTCTCCTTGTTATATATAATAAATAGATTAATGATCCCAGCTCTGGCAAAGTCTCGTTGTTATATATAATAAATAGATTAATAATCCCAGCTCTAGTAAAGTCTCCTAGTTAAATATAATAAATAGATTAATTATACCAGCTCTGGTAATGTCTCCTTATTATATATATTAAATAGATTAATTATACCAGCTCTGGTAATGTCTCCTTGTTATATATAATAAATAGATTAATAATCCCAGCTCTGGTAAAGTCTCCTTGTTATATATAATAAATAGATTAATAATCCCAGCTCTAGTAAAGTCTCCTAGTTAAATATAATAAATAGATTAATTATACCAGCTCTGGTAATGTCTCCTTGTTATATATAATAAATAGATTAATGATCCCAGCTCTGGTAAAGTCTCCTTGTTATATATAATAAATAGATTAATAATCCCATCTCTGGTAATGTCTCCTTATTATATATATTAAATAGATTAATTATACCAGCTCTGGTAATGTCTCCTTGTTATATATAATAAATAGATTAATGATCCCAGCTCTGGCAAAGTCTCCTTGTTATGTTATATATAATAAATAGATTAATAATCCCAGCTCTAGTAAAGTCTCCTAGTTAAATATAATAAATAGATTAATTATACCAGCTCTGGTAATGTCTCCTTATTATATATATTAAATAGATTAATTATACCAGCTCTGGTAATGTCTCCTTGTTATATATAATAAATAGATTAATAATCCCAGCTCTGGTAAAGTCTCCTTGTTATATATAATAAATAGATTAATAATCCCAGCTCTAGTAAAGTCTCCTAGTTAAATATAATAAATAGATTAATTATACCAGCTCTGGTAATGTCTCCTTGTTATATATAATAAATAGATTAATTATACCAGCTCTGGTAATGTCTCCTTGTTATATATAATAAATAGATTAATAATCCCAGCTCTGTTAAAGTATCATGGTTATATATAATAAATAGATTAATAATCCCAGTTCTGGTAATGTCTCCTTGTTATAAATAATAAATAGATTAATGATCCCAGCTCTGGTAAAGTCTCCTTGTTATATATAATAAATAGATTAATAATCCCAGCTCTGGTAAAGTCTCCTGGTTATATATAAAAATAAATTAATGATCCCAGCTCTGGTAATGTCTTCTTGTTATATATAATAAATAGATTAATAATCCCAGCTCTGGTAAAGTCTCCTTGTTATATATAATAAATAGATTAATGATCCCAGCTCTGGTAAAGTCTCCTTGTTATATATAATAAATAGATTAATGATCCCAGCTCTGGTAAAGTCTCCTTGTTATATATAATAAATAGATTAATGATCGCAGCTCTGGTAAAGCCTCCTTGTTATATATAATAAATAGATTATTAATCCCAGGTCTGGTAAAGTCTCATTGCTTTATATAATAATTATATTAATAATCCTGGTTATATATAACAAATAGACTAATGATCCCGGTTATATATAATAATTAGATCAATGATCCCGGTTATATATAATAAATAGATTAATAATCCCGGTTATATATAATAATAGATTAATAATCCCGGTTATTTATAATAATTAGATTAATAATCCTGGTTATATATAATAATTAGATTAATGATCCTGGTTATTTATAATAATTAGATCAATGATCCCGGTTATATATAATAAATAGATTAATAATCCCGGTTATATATAATAATAGATTAATAATCCCGGTTATTTATAATAATTAGATTAATAATCCTGGTTATATATAATAATTAGATTAATGATCCTGGTTATTTATAATAATTAGATCAATGATCCCGGTTATATATAATAAATAGATTAATAATCCCGGTTATATATAATAATAGATTAATAATCCCGGTTATTTATAATAATTAGATTAATAATCCCGGTTATTATAATTAATAGATTAATAATCCCGGTTATTTATAATAATTAGATAAATAATTTGGTTTATTTATGATATAGATTATAATTTTGCTTATTTATGATAATTGGATTAATAATTCTGTTTATTTATGATAATTAGATTAATAATTCTGTTTATTTATGATAATTGATTATTACTTACCTCAGCTCTGGGGAAGCTGCGGCCCCTAGGGTACATTAGGTTGGCCCCGCCCCTCCTCGGTGACGCATTTGCCCCTGCGCGCTGAGCTTGAAGTGACGTGGAGTCCGCGTCGCTGGCTCTGGAGGGATCCATCGCGCGCTCTGTGGCGGTGGAAGAAGACGGGCGGGCCGTACCTGGCAGGAGGCCCATCCTCCGGCCTCCCCGCCGGGACCCCGGAGCTGCCACCCGGGAGGCCGGATCCGGCTCGGAAGGTGAGACCGGGGAGGCGGTCAGTACCCGGGAGGGGGAGGCGGTCAGTACCCGGGGAGGGGAGGCGGGCAGTACCCGGGAGGCGGGCAGTACCCGGGGAGGGGGGGAGGCGGCCGGGGCACCCGGGAGGGGAGGCGGTCAGGCACCCGGGGAGGGGGGGAGGCGGTCAGCACCCGGGGAGGTGGGGGGGAGGCGGGCAGTACCCGGGAGGTGGGGGAGCGGGCGCACCTGGGAGGCGGTCAGTACCCGTAGAGGGATGGGGGATCTGGGATGATAAGATGTCTGAGCCGGGCGGGGCTGAGGTGGCTGGCACCCGGGGGCGGTCAGTATCTGGGGGCGGTCAGTAATCCGTAGAGGGATGGAGGATCTGGGATGATAAGATGTCTGAGCTGGGCGGAGGGGGGAGGCGGCTGCATCCGGGTAGAGGGATGGAGGATCTGGGATGATAAGATGTCTGGAGCCGGGCGGAGGGGAGGCGGTCAGTATCCGGGTAGAGGGATGGAGGATCTGGGATGATAAGATGTCTGGAGCCGGGGGGGGGGGGAGGCGGTCAGTATCCGGGTAGAGGGATGGAGGATCTGGGATGATAAGATGTCTGGAGCCGGGCGGAGGGGGAGGCGGTCAGTATCCGGGTAGAGGGATGGAGGATCTGGGATGATAAGATGTCTGGAGCCGGGGGGGGGGAGAGGCGGTCAGTATCCGGGTAGAGGGATGGAGGATCTGGGATGATAAGATGTCTGGAGCCGGGCGGGGAGGGGAGGCGGTCAAGTATCCGGTAGAGGGATGGAGGATCTGGGATGATAAGATGTCTGGAGTCGGCGGGGAGAGGGCAGTCATCCGGTAGAGGGATGGGGATCTGGGATGATAAGATGTCTGAGCCGGGCGGGCTGAGGTGGTCAGTACCCGGGGCGTCAGTATCTGGGGGTCAGTATCCGGGTAGAGGGATGGAGGATCTGGGATGATAAGATGTCTGGAGCCGGGCGGAGGGGGAGGCGGTCAGTATCCGGGTAGAGGGATGGAGGATCTGGGATGATAAGATGTCTGGAGCCGGGCGGGGGGAGAGGCGGTCAGTATCCGGGTAGAGGGATGGTGGATCTGGGATGATAAGATGTCTGGAGCCGGGCAGGGGGGGGAGGCGGTCAGTACCCGGGTAGAGGGATGGAGGATCTGGGATGATAAGATGTCTTTCTGGGAGCCTGTCTCAAGGTCGGATATTCTCCCCAAGCCTCTCACTGCACCTCCCCATAGCCGGCCATTCGCCATTCTTAGTCCCCGCGGGTTAGTGAATAGCCCGGATACAGCGCAAGGTGTCCATTAACACAGCGTTACTGTCTTTATATAAAAACATGTCAGTAAATCCAGGGGCAGACAGGAGGAGAGCTCACTAATTACCAGGATTCCTATCCAAATATCTCATATCTTTGTCTAATGGGAGGTCACATTAATAGCACCCACTGTAATGTGCTTTAAACACACACTACACGCTTAGAAACACATCTATTTTACAGAATTCTAGATTTTTCTAACTTTTTAGTGATGTAAAGTCACGTAACATCAGGAAGTATTACTTTACTGAGAGGGTAGTGGATGCATGGAATAGCCTTCTAGCTGAAGTGGTAGAGGTTAACACAATGAGGGAGTTTAAACATGCGTGGGATAGGCATTAGGCTGTACTAGATATAAGATAAGGCCAGGGACTAATGAAAGTATTTAGAAAATTGGGCAGACTAGATGGGCCGATTGGTTCTTATCTGCCGTCACATTCTATGTTTCTCTTTTACTCTGGGTGGGGCACAGCACTCAGACCACTTAATTTGCTGAAGTGGTCTGGGTGCCTGGAGTGTCCCTTTAAGACAGGAGGCACGTGTTTTACTTTAACTTCCTTTACTACTCAAATAGCAGCAAATGGGGATTAAAAAAATAAAAATCTGACAGTGCAGAAAAACTTATAAAGATATCACATAGGAGGAACATGCTTTCTAACCAGTATAACCACTATAACCAGTATGTAATGAAAAGGATGTGGTGTAATCACCTGAATCAGCCATTCGGAGAAATCTATTCTGAATCCTTTTACTGTATTAAGAATCCCTAAATTGAATTTTGCGAGAAAATGGGTGTCTGCCAACGAGACTTTTATGAGGAGAAGGAATCACTTACCAGAAAAAAGGTCCTGTTTTAGACTGTCCACTAGAAGAGTGGTTCCTAACCCAGTCCTCAAGTACTCTCTGCCAGTTCAGGATTTAGGCATTACCCAGTTGTCTAAGGTGGTGTTTCGTTTGTTTGTTTTTTTTAAACCAAAAAAAAAAAAACACAAGACAAAACAGGGTAATCCCTAATGTAGCAGAATTAACTTTATAGTACCCATTTTCATTCCATTTGTTTGGCTGTTCTGTAGCCCCCGTTCATTTACCGAATTCCAATCTGTGTGGTCCCTGGGTTCGCATCATTTAACAACCAACCAACCACCCCTGGCTGTTGACCTCAAATCGCTTGTTATAGAAAGTGTTTCCCTTGTGTGGCCTGTGTATTACTGAACGCATGTGTGCAGATAAACGGTGGCCATTTTGTCTCTCGAACATGAGCAGCGGTACATGGTCATTGACGAACAGGAACTAATTTTGGTTACTTTAGTTCGCGAATACCCGGTAAACTGATACCGCTACCCATTCAACTTCCCGAATCAGTAGGAGAACGCCGTTCGGGAGACATAAACTTCCGAACAGGGGGAAACATTCGTATGCTAGCAGCCAGGGAGAGCCTTCATCGGCATTTGTGCGAGAACTCTCGAAAGAAGATTGGTCAAAGCCTAAATTTCTCGAACTGTTTTGGAGGCTTCACCTCATGGCCAACCGGTCAAAACTTCACTCAAATGGCGTTCCTAAACCACCGAACGGATCTGAGTGATATTTTGGCAAAGTGGGTGCTCAGATCCCACCTATTCGGTGAAGTAACTTTTGTGGGGTTCTGAAATACTAAAATGTGTTTTATGTTTATAAATATTGTATATTTCCTGTACCTGAGATTATTTAATTAAAGAGTTGTTCTTGCTCAAGTTTCTTCCAGACACAGATGAGGAGTCTGTGAACAGTTTACTTGTGCCTTGTCTCCTCTCGGGTCCATCAGTGGAAAACCCCTGGAATAGGAATTAAGAAACCCCTTTCATGAGGAGTTGCATATAAGCCAGCTGTGGCTGAATAAAAATCAGTTGTCTCCCAGAACTGTGTGTTGTCCAGTTACTGAGGGGATTTTGTCTTGTATATTGGATTGCTTCCTCAGCTACAAGGATTAAGCAGCGGAGATATTTGTTGAATGTTGGAGCTCTACTACACCTAAATTCTGGGAGGGAGTACTTGAGCACTGTGTTGGAAACCACTGCTCTAGAACCTCTGGATCGCCAAAGTCTCACTATTTGGGGAAAGAAGGGTTTATGGGTGTAAACATGGTTTCATCTGCCTCTGTAAAATGAATAGGCGTCTATATGGAAGTGACCTCTTATGGGTCTGCCAAAGATTTTTGGAGGAAAAACCTCAATTGAGGGATAATTGGGCATGTATACATAGGAAAAAATAACAAATTAACTTGTTTTATTTATAAACTCCTGCCAAATAAAAGGCCATCTGCAGAAGTTCCAAGTTCTTCTGTGGCCATTTGGATTTATTCAGGGTCTGATTTTATCAAGTGAGCTCATCTTCTCTCTGAGGTGATAGCTACTTTGGCGTTGCCTAAAATCAAAACATTTTGTATCCACATATGGATATCAACCGCTTTACCACCTTGGAAAGCACTCTGCCAGGTCAAACATTTTTGCTAATTGACCAGTTATATCCATTAATCTGCCCTAATAGCTCTACAAGGAGCAATCTGTTCCCTGTAGTGGATGATGATAGGGTATGATGATGATGGGGGGGGTAGATGGAGGACAAAATAATACAATAGTGTAATACAGTTAAAACAAATATTAATGCGCGCTAGGTTAGAATGCACTCACAAGATTCTGGAGTATAGCATCGCCTCAGTGTGCCTCCCCTTAGATAGTTTAGGTGGTATATCCAAGGATCCTTCTCTGATGCTGTCACCACCACGTAAAGCAAGGTAAGACACAGGGAGTCGGTGAAAAAAATGCTTGGCTTTATTATACAAATAACAAAGCAAAATAAAATACATGCGAGGTCCTACGCGTTTCGGCTTTACAAAAACCTTCCTCGGGGTCCAATAAAACAAATGCAAGTAAACAAATTCATAAACAATCCCACAATGAGGATCAAAAGCAGCATATAACTCTCCCCCTGAGTCTTTCTTTATATATGGTCTTCCTATTGTCTCATTAGCAGTTCCGTGGGGGTGTTTCTGAAGGTATCCAGCCAGGCCCGGACTGGCCCTCGCGATGTCCATGGGCCGAGGCCGGCAGGGGAGATCACAGGATCACCTGAGCATAACACTTATATAAATAACTGGTCTCTGTTTCACTGTATATGTAGTTCTCATCTTGGTTTACAGGAGTCAGTCCTATCGTTCTTTTGATAGTGCATCCACTTTGCTCTTTAGTTTATTTGCGAAACAATCAAAGTTAAAGAAACACCCAAATGTGTTTATCTAAAAGCTGAGATTAATTTCTGGTATGTTTTTGTTCTAAGATTGCACACAGAGTTCACGAGAAATTCACTTTAAAGGGACACTACTACCCTGTAACTGCTTTATCTGGTAGACCTGGTTATAGTGTCTGGAGCCGTCCTTTCATTCAGCGTTAAAGAAACACTATAGCATTAGGGATACAAAACGCTATAGTGTGCCTCCGGATCCTTTCCTTTTTTTATTTTTATTTTTTGTCTCGCTAACCTGCGGTTGAAGTAGACAAAGAGTTTTTGTTTTGTCTGATGTGATCATGCATCCTAATCTTTCCATATATTTTTCTTTGACAGATGATGCGGAGTCCCAGAAAGTTCTTGTACCCCCAGGAGGTGGTACTGCAGAATTGCAGGCTGCTGTGGTGAAACAGACAGGTAGACATTATCATTACCACCATTTTTATAGCTTCAGGAAATTGAGCAAAGCTTTGCAATTCTTTCAGTGCAGCTGCATAACAACAATTAAGTGCTGGATGGCAAAATCACGTAAGGGATACAAAATGTATTTTTAAAAATGCCCAGCTCAAACTACTGAAAATTACCTAGCCATTTACAGGAAGTGGGCAAATAATAAAAAGCTTAAAAATCTATTCTTATAAAAGAGCTAGTAAGCAGTATGCTGCCGTTTAGATTCAGAACTGCTTTTAGTACTTTTGGAATTTGCTTTTACAAGTCTTTAGTGTAGCTGGGTTTTGCACCATTTCTCAAAAACAAAAGTATGAAGTGAATGTCTTATCAATATTTAGAACTGGCCATTAGGCTGTGGCATGCCACATAAAAGGGTCCTGTAAATGGACTCTCGATCCATAGCCAATGCAGTTGTGGGAGCTTATTCCCACCATTTAGCAGCCCTGTGGGCTGAAGAGTTCCATTTGTAAACCCACCAGGTTGTGAGAGAGAATTTTTTTTTTTTTTTTTTTTTAAAGTCATCATATTTTTACTAATCAGGAGTCTAGCAGAGTTACTTAACCTGAGAATTGATCGTGGGATATAAATTCTTATGTTAAAATATTAAAACTTTGTTGAATAATCTTTCTAGTTAAAGGACCACTATAGTGCCCTGAGGGTGCCCGCACCCTCAGGCACCCCCTCCCGCCGGGCTGGATGGAGTGGAAGGGGTTAAACTTACCTCTTTCTCCAGCGCCGGGCGGGGAGCTCTCCTCTCTCTTCTCCTCCTCTTTGGCTGAATGCGTATTCACAATGCTTTCCTATGGACGCTGGCGTCTTCTCACTGTGATTTTCACAGTGAGAAGCACGCAAGCGCCTCTAGCGGCTGTCAATGAGACAGCCACCGGAGGTTGGATTAACCCCAATATAAACATAGCAGTTTCTCTGAAACAGCTATGTTTTTATAAAAATAAAAAGGGGGGGGGTTAACCCTAGCTGGACCTGGCACCCAGACCACTTCATTAAGCTGAAGTGGTCTGGGTGCCTATAGTGGTCCTTTAAGCTATTTGACCTAAAATGTGTCATTTCCTAGTTGCATGACTTTTACCCTAGGCGATGCATTGGTGTGGTGGTCTTAAAGTAATTTCCTGTTGGAAGCTCGAACATAAATTCCAGCTTTGTGAAACTCATGGCATTCAGTTTTCTGGAAACGGTGTTGCAAAGAGACTGATTTAGTTTTGTAAACTTTTGACGTTGCGCTATTGTGATGTTTAGTAACTATGCTGTGAAGTGTCATTCTTTGTGACTTACGACCTCTGTTCCTCCTTGATGTTGGTTTCCACAAATTAAGAAAATTAGAAATGTATTAATTGCCAAACTTCTTTAATAGATGGCATATCCCAAATAAGCAGTCAGTCTAAGATGAATCTATGACATCTGTGATTTTTATAGTGTAGTATTATTTATTACCTTGGGACAAAAGTAATTAATTTCTTTGTGCTGTTTTTTTTTCTTTTTTTTTTTTTCTTTTCTTGTTTAGGGGGGCTTTGCCTTCTTGGTGCTTACACAGACAGTGATGAAGATGATGTCCCCGATAAGCCTACTGTGGGAACTGCTCCAAAGGCCAACACCTCCTCAGACATCGACAGTACTCTGGCTAATTTTATGGCGGTTAGAGCAATTTTTATTTATATTTTTTTTTGCACCCAAAATATTCAAACTATTATGACCTCACTGTTCAACACTCATATGGAAATATAAAATGTGTTTAAACTTAACATCTTTAAATGGATTTGGAATTTTACAAGAAACCGGTTTTAAAAACAATGATTTTCTTTTGCGTGTGTTTGTGATTTTGTGTTCTAAATGTATTTAAAATATGCTCAAGTACTCCATAACCCGTGTTCGGTGTAATTTTAAATTAATTAAACAACTTGATAAAGTGCAACAGTGTATATAGTTGTAATTATAAATTGCTGCGTAGTAGACCGACTTTGCTCCTTTCAATTCATAGTGCCTGTGTGTGTGTACACCAAGAAAAGTATCTCTGGGGGGGAGGAAAAAACTGTGCAAATATATAAAAAGTTATCAACACCTAAACAGTGTAAGTGCACTTGAGAGAACGTGTCGCGCTCTGCAAGCATACGGGTGGCTATTGTAATTCCAGTTAGAAGAACCCTTTGCTGCATTATCTCCTGATTGCAGGATTGTATCTCACCTTAAACCGAATTGGTGATCTAATGAACATTAAAGAAGGAGCCTATCTGGAGATAAGTGGCCCTTAAGGGCAAAGCTATTTCAAATTGTGCTGTACTCTACACTAAATATTCTGTAATGTATAAGGATTGTCTCCTTGGGATTTTCTTCTTTCGTTTTTTTTTTAATATATTCTTATATTTAAATTGTGAGTGGTCATATGCATTATGAAGTAAATATGCCCCATTTGGATTGCACTTGCACTTTTTAGCTGTTAATAATACTGTTTATGGGAGGCGGAGCCTGACTGCTGAACTGGCTGGTGGCATGCTGCCCGAGCTCCAGGACGAGACCGGTAATCTGACTAATTTACATGCCAAAAACTACCGCAAACCGTGTCTTCCAGCAACACATTGCTGCTTACTCTATTACTTAAAAAAATGTGCACAGTTCTTCATGCCATACAACTGTCTTTATATGTACGTTGAAACTCTGGCACCAGCTGTTGCGACATTGCTAGCTTAAATGTAACCTGTATAATCTATGCTCGGGGAAAAAATACGGTTTATATATTTGCACATAGTTTTTTTTTTTTTTTTTGTGTATATGTGTGTGTGTGTATGTGTGTGTATATGTGTATATATATATATATATATATATATATAATTTTTTTCCCGCTAGAATCCCTTCTTAAAATATGATTGAAACTGTCCGTGAAGTCTTATAATCTGTTTCTGTGCCATTGTTTCAGGAAATCGATGCCATCACAGCTCCTTCTGCACCAGATGGCGAAGCAGTTGCTGCTTCTTTGATTCCTCCCCCTACGCCACCAAGACCAGATCCAAAGGACAGTCATTCAGTGTCATCTAGTGCACATAATGGCGCAGAATCGGCTTTGGCAGGGGAGGCATGGAGATTTGATACTCAGTGTTCGCTAACCGGAGGTGAGTGCAGTTTTTTTTTTTTTTTGGTTTTTTTGACTGTTCACTTTGATAATCTTACACACTTTCCATCCTATCAAATATGATGTGCAAACGTCTCATGCTCACAAACCCTCCACACTGTGCTCCGATTTAACATCTCTGCTCTACTGCTCAGTGCAAACCTACTTGTCCCTTTTTTTTTTGAAAGTTTGTGCTGTCCAAGTTGCCTCACATGTCTTTAACACATTGCGATATCCAGGTTACTTCATCCCTACCCAATTCACTTACTGAAATGTAATTCTTTGTGTATTATTAATCATTCTATTAACCCTAATAAGCATTCCCCATAATAATCGCATGCTTACCAACACACTTCATCAGTTATGTTTGTCCGTTACATACTGTTTTACTCCCTTTTAATTCTACTGTTTGCATATATATCTCACCTTTTAAAAATCTATTGATTGTATGATATACTTTCCTATGTTTTGCAGTAATGTGAACGTTTTCTTTCTGGCTGTACCTGACACGTTTTGGTGTTTAATAAAACAAGTGCTTTTGTTTTTGTCTAGTTGGTGTTGAGATGGGGGATTGGCAAGAAGTGTGGGATGAGAACACGGGTTGTTATTACTATTGGAACACTCAGACCAATGAAGTGACGTGGGAGCTACCCCAAGATCTGGCTACTCAAGTCCAGGGAGCTCAGGGGTATGTAAGATGTGGGTGGACTGGGCAGATGGAAGCTCTGTCTGCTAACATAGCTTCAGTTTTAGCTCATGGTGTGTGTTTAATTTCCAGAACTGCTACAGACGGTATTTCTTTACACACGATTGTTACCGCAGAGTCCTTTTCTGAGGCAAAGGAAGACGTTTTGGTTACAAGCACTAGTAGCTTACCAGTGATTTCCAAAAAAGATGTAAAGAAGGTGAGTGCCTTTCTTTGTAGACCATCCCTGCCCATTGTATGTGATTTTCAAATGTTAAATTCCGTTTAAATTGTCAATATCTCTAGCCCGAGTTCAGACCTAGTTAAAGGGACATTATAGGCACCCAAACCACTTCAACTCATTGAGAAACTGCAATAATTACATTGCACAGCGTTAACTCCACCTCTAGACGGGCATTTCTGGGTCGTTAGTTGACTTTTGGTCGCCTACCTGACTCTGGATGTCCTCACGCTTTGCATGATTCGAGCATTGGTTCAATGCTTTCCTATGGTGTAGCCCTAATGCAATCGCTGAGCTTGCTGATGTTGGGAGAGGTAAAGGCGTAGCCTGAACCAGCACTGAGGGACACGAGGGCGCTGGATTCGGGTAAGTAACAAGGTTTGTTTTTGTTTTTTTTAACCCATTCTGCACTGCTGGTGGGGGGGCACTATAGGTTGCTAGGAATGCAGCTTTGTATTCCTAGCACTCTACTTTCCCTTTAACAGCAATTGGATGTTGGTTCTGAAGCAGAATGTCAAGGATTCCCCAGGGGTGAGCAGTAGCAAATGGAGGTTCTCGTTCACTTTAGCATTACTTTAATTTCATGTTTCTAGGGTTCACTGCCTGTAGGATTTATTCACTAAATGATGAATTGATAACAAGTTTATTGCATTTGGGGCAGAAAATATATTGCAGCCTTCGTTTTGCATTTTACTACATTCCATACTTAATGAAGAAAAACCTCTCTGAGCAGTTCCCCACCACAGGGCTAAACTACCAGGAAGAAACCAGACTGGTTTGTCTCACTGCCAGGGAGGTGTAACTGGGTTAATTTATAATAGTGTCAATTTTTATTGAAATCTGCACCTTTTGTAACATGGGGAAAAGGACACACTGTTCACAAATAAAGCACTTCAGCAAGCTAAAGGGATTTAGGAGTCTGAAGTGTCCCTTTAAATCACTTCATGTGCTGAACCCTGTGAGGGTTCCATCCATTGAATCAATGAATCTTGCTGACCTTTTAATCCTATTGGGTAATGCCACCAAAAAAAATAAATCTCAAATCTCTGCCCTTTGAATAGTTCCTCATCTTTCTCTTTACGGCTGCCGTTGCATACATGTGAATTATGTCAGGTTATTGCAAACGTGAGCGATCTTTGACAAGCCTTTATGGGCATACTTTCTGTTTTCAGGATGTGAATGAGGCTGTCCAGGCCCTTTCCAACAAGGAAGAAGAGAAGGTGGGTGTTGCTGCATCTCTACTTGCTCCACTTTTGCCAGAGGCTGTGAAAGAGGAAGAGGAACGCTGGCGAAGGAGAGTCATATGCAAAGAGGATGTCGGCGAAGGAGCTTCAGAAGACGAAGGGGAGGCGGCAGCAGCTGTTGGTGCAGATAGCTGCTTAGCTACGTGTGCAGACGAGAGTGGGCAAGATGATGTTTGCAGCACGGTCCAATCAGGAGAGAGCGATGAAGAAGAGATAGAAGAACAAGACACCCTAGAGCTGGAGATGGTCTTGGAAAGGAAGAAAGTAAGTGTTGTTTTTTTGTCCCTCTCCAAGTTGTTTTGCTTTTTCTTTATATTTTAAGTTATTTTATTTTATTTGACGTGTTTAATGGTAATTAGAAATATATGTTTAAGGTTTAAAGGGACACTCCATGCACCCAGACCACTTCTGCCCATTGGAGTGGTCTGGATGCCAACTCCTATCACCCTTTTTATAAACTGCAATAATTACCTTGCGGGTTAAGTCCTGTCTGATAGGCAGCCACTAGAGGGACTTCCGTGTTCTTAGAACACGAAAAGCATGTTATGCGACGCTTGGCGTTCTCACGCTTTGTGAGGACCTCCAACATCGCCAAAATCCCCATAGGAAATAATTGAATAATGCTTTCCTATGGGGAGGTCTAAAGCGCGTGGGCGGCCATTGCCGAGCGTGCGCATTGTCTCCCCCGGCCGGCTGACGTCTGCGAATCCTGACCCAGCGCGGAGGGACATCAGCGCTGGACTCCGGTAAGTCACTATGGGGTTTTAACCCCTTCAGCAACTTGGGGTGGGGGGTGGGGCACTGTAGGGTCCTGCAGTGCTAGGAAATGTCCCTTTTAGTAGTTATTATACATTACATTATTCATGAAATAGTCATTTATGTAGCACTGTATTTTGGGTAAACAAAACAAGAAAATACACATTTTGTATGCTATATAAATGTTAAAATCACTTCCCTTGATTTGATTAAAATGTGACCTTGAGAATTTTAACGTGTCCTTATGGTACACACGTTTTTTGTACTGTTAGAATTACTGACAGATGTCTCGATTGTTTTGTGTAGAACAAATTTGAATTAAACAGCTGCTGATTCCATTGAATTATCTGCTTTTTAGGAAATATGGAGATTTATTTGAATGAATCCTTGTTAAATGGATGTTTTGAGGGACAGTACAGGTTAATATATAAATATTATTTTTTTTGTTCCCCTGCATCAGGCTGAACTCCGAGCTTTAGAGGAGGGAGATGTGAGTGTGTCTGGGTCCAGTCCACACTCTGACTTCAGCCAGTCAGATGAAGCTCCGAAAGCAACACCCGTTAAAAGCAAGTGGAAGGTGTTCGTTCCAACAGCTAGTCCCGATTCAGCCAGCCGCAGCTCCAGTAAAACCGGCCGTGACACCCCTGAAACCGGTGAGCGTTTGATCTAATAAACCACATTTTCAGCTATTTTATTATAGAGAATAGAGTTGTCCAGTGCTCCCTACAGTATATCTTTTCAGTTCTGTTAATTATGTCTGTGCTCCCTTACATTCTGTGGTCTCTGGGTTCGGTTAATTATGTCTGTGTGGTCTCTGGGTTCTGTTAATTATGTCTGTGCTCCCTTACATTCTGTGGTCTCTGGGTTCTGTTAATTATGTCTGTGTGATCCCTTACATTCTGTGGTCTCTGGGTTCGGTTAATTATGTCTGTGTGATCCCTTATATTCTGTGGTCTCTGGGTTCTGTTAATTATGTCTGTGTGATCCCTTACATTCTGTGGTCTCTGGGTTCGGTTAATTATGTCTGTGTGATCCCTTATATTCTGTGGTCTCTGGGTTCTGTTAATTATGTCTGTGTGATCCCTTATATTCTGTGGTCTCTGGGTTCGGTTAATTATGTCTGTGCTCCCTTACATTCTGTGGTCTCTGGGTTCTGTTAATTATGTCTGTGCTCCCTTACATTCTGTGGTCTCTGGGTTCGGTTAATTATGTCTGTGTGATCCCTTACATTCTGTGGTCTCTGGGTTCGGTTAATTATGTCTGTGTGATCCCTTATATTCTGTGGTCTCTGGGTTCTGTTAATTATGTCTGTGTGATCCCTTATATTCTGTGGTCTCTGGGTTCGGTTAATTATGTCTGTGCTCCCTTACATTCTGTGGTCTCTGGGTTCTGTTAATTATGTCTGTGCTCCCTTACATTCTGTGGTCTCTGGGTTCTGTTAATTATGTCTGTGTGATCCCTTATATTCTGTGGTCTCTGGGTTCGGTTAATTATGTCTGTGTGATCCCTTATATTCTGTGGTCTCTGGGTTCTGTTAATTATGTCTGTGCTCCCTTACATTCTGTGGTCTCTGGGTTCTGTTAATTATGTCTGTGCTCCCTTACATTCTGTGGTCTCTGGGTTCGGTTAATTATGTCTGTGTGATCCCTTATATTCTGTGGTCTCTGGGTTCTGTTAATTATGTCTGTGCTCCCTTACATTCTGTGGTCTCTGGGTTCTGTTAATTATGTCTGTGTGATCCCTTACATTCTGTGGTCTCTGGGTTCTGTTAATTATGTCTGTGCTTCCTTACATTCTGTGGTCTCTGGGTTCTGTTAATTATGTCTGTGTGATCCCTTATATTCTGTGGTCTCTGGGTTCGGTTAATTATGTCTGTGCTTCCTTACATTCTGTGGTCTCTGGGTTCGGTTAATTATGTCTGTGTGATCCCTTATATTCTGTGGTCTCTGGGTTCTGTTAATTATGTCTGTGTGATCCCTTATATTCTGTGGTCTCTGGGTTCTGTTAATTATGTCTGTGCTCCCTTACATTCTGTGGTCTCTGGGTTCTGTTAATTATGTCTGTGTGATCCCTTACATTCTGTGGTCTCTGGGTTCTGTTAATTATGTCTGTGCTCCCTTACATTCTGTGGTCTCTGGGTTCGGTTAATTATGTCTGTGTGATCCCTTATATTCTGTGGTCTCTGGGTTCTGTTAATTATGTCTGTGCTCCCTTACATTCTGTGGTCTCTGGGTTCTGTTAATTATGTCTGTGCTCCCTTACATTCTGTGGTCTCTGGGTTCGGTTAATTATGTCTGTGTGATCCCTTATATTCTGTGGTCTCTGGGTTCTGTTAATTATGTCTGTGCTCCCTTACATTCTGTGGTCTCTGGGTTCTGTTAATTATGTCTGTGTGATCCCTTACATTCTGTGGTCTCTGGGTTCTGTTAATTATGTCTGTGCTTCCTTACATTCTGTGGTCTCTGGGTTCTGTTAATTATGTCTGTGTGATCCCTTATATTCTGTGGTCTCTGGGTTCGGTTAATTATGTCTGTGTGATCCCTTATATTCTGTGGTCTCTGGGTTCTGTTAATTATGTCTGTGTGATCCCTTACATTCTGTGGTCTCTGGGTTCTGTTAATTATGTCTGTGCTTCCTTACATTCTGTGGTCTCCGGGTTCGGTTAATTATGTCTGTGTGATCCCTTATATTCTGTGGTCTCTGGGTTCGGTTAATTATGTCTGTGCTTCCTTACATTCTGTGGTCTCTGGGTTCGGTTAATTATGTCTGTGTGATCCCTTATATTCTGTGGTCTCTGGGTTCTGTTAATTATGTCTGTGTGATCCCTTATATTCTGTGGTCTCTGGGTTCTGTTAATTATGCCTGTGTGCTCCCTTACATTCTGTGGTCTCTGGGTTCTGTTAATTATGTCTGTGTGCTCCCTTACATTCTGTGGTCTCTGGGTTCTGTTAATTATGTCTGTGTGCTCCCTTACATTCTGTGGTCTCTGGGTTTTGTTAATTATGTCTGTGCTCCCTTACATTCTGTGGTCTTTGAGATCTGTGATATTTAAATATTGGACTGTATGCTATCTGATGATATTTATTTACTAAAAACAGAACATAATGTGGAGACCTTTTGACTTAAAACTTTCCGTTTATCTTTACGAATTTCATAGCCTTTATAGGGGCAGGAGAAAGAATAAGAACACATCACTCAGACTAAGAGTGTAATGCAATTCCCTAGGAAATCACAAAATATTTCAACTGTTCTAGCTTTTAAGACATGCACTTCATCTGAAATGGAGGATATCTGTATCTATCAAGTTCATATATCCTTGCACTCATGCTTGAGTTGCCTACTGCGATACTGCAGTGGTAGAATTGCCGGGTACCAGTCTCTGCAAGGGATCCTGTTATGTACCAAACAAAAGATACAGGCTGCACTCACGGACTTGCAAATATCAAAAATGCTGTTTATTCCATATAACAAGAAAAATCTTCCTCAGGAGTCATTTAATCCTGAGGAAGGTCCCTGCGATGACCGAAACGTTGATATTTTTTATTTTATTTTCCCCAGCATTTTTGATATTTGCAAGTCCGTGAGTGCAGCCTGTATCTTCATTTGTTTGAGAAACAGCTGTCCATGAGTGGTTCACTGGTTTTGCATCTTATCCTAAATTGTGTTCCAAGCAGTTGTATACTGCAAACACAAATTAAAAGGAATCCATGTTTAAAATGGAATGAGGCAAAAATGTGATTCTTTGTTAAACTAATTTGCATATGCCCACCCAGAATCCTTTGCGGTTGTAACATCACTGCTGATTTGGGATTTCTGTGGGAAAAGCAAGTCTTATGGCTTGACTGGTGTGCAGATTTTTGTTTAGCATTGTATTAACTATCCACATACTTCAGGTGGAAGGGGTTTTCAATCACAATTTATCCAAAATATTTATTAGATGTATATTAAAAATACGATCGTTTCAGCCCCACTGGAGGGCTTTCCTCAGGATTTTTTTTTGATCCTGAGGAAAGCCATCCAGTGGGGCTGAAATGTTGATCGTATTTTTAATATATATCTAATAAATATTTTTTATTTTAATGAAGTCCGAGGAGTGCATCCATTATTTTGGATATTTTGTATGAAAACAGCCTGCTGCACCCGGAATTATTCAAGATAGCGTGAGTGCAAGGAAACTTTTGTGTAATATATATATATACATTTTTTTTTTTTTTTTTATTATTATTATTGAAATTTTTTTTGTGAGAGAGAAATGTGATTTCCTTTTCAGAACTTGCTGCTGAGAGCTGTGCGCCTGTGAAAGAACCAGAGAGTGAAGAGGTGACCGATCACCACAAACCAGTGGTGGAGGAAGGTGATGATCTGAAGGTAATGCTGTGAGCATACAGTGTTCTGGCATCACATATAGACACAGGGCTGCCATCAGAACTCTTTGGGCCTTTTACTGTTCCATTGGCCAGGCCCCTCCTCATGCTGTACTGCCACCTCCACCCTTAATAATTGTGCCAAAAAGATAGAAACCGCCTTATTTTCCACCATTGTAAAAATAACCCTGGAGTGGCCAACTTTGCTTTTATCTCCCCACTACAATAACAATATCCCTGGCAGGACCCCGTTCATTCCTAATGCCTCCCACCACAATAAAAATACCCCCCTCCTACACCACATAACACATTGTAAACATACACCTGGCTCGCCCCCATTCACTTCTTACCCCTCCACAAAAAAAACCCCCTGGAAGCTCACATATACTTTACTTACCTTTGTCTGTACTCCTCTTACCTCACACACCACTCTGCATCCATCTGTGTTCTTCCAAGTCTTTATCCTCCATATTTAACAGTGGAAAGACAGGGGGTCTGCAGGCATGAGCAGGACGATGGCTCCGCAGGGTCCAGTGGTGCCTGGTGCAGGGTTCTGGCTCCTTTCTCTCATTGTCGTTGCCACGCAGAGAAGTGAAAGGGTGTTGGCACTGCTCCTAAGTAAGGGTCCTACTCCACAGGATATGTCCAACAGGAAGACCGGACTAACAGCAGTTTGGGCAAATTAGACCCTGGGCCCGATGGCCAATTTACATGCTGAGTGTTCCTGTCATCATTGTTGCTTACAATTGTAAAGTGTCTTGTAATACAGTGTGGTATTTTTGTACTTTGTATGTGTGAGAGGGCACTTGTCTAGCACGAGAGGGTGTACATGCAGTTTGAGTGTATGCGAGTAGTGTATTTTTATGGGTTGTGTGTGATTGTTTCCAAATCCTCCCCTTTCTCTGTACTTTTATTTTGTTTCACTGTCTAAACCCTTACCCTTGTTTTCTCCTTCTCAAAAATCCCATCCAAAACCCTTAGCCTTGCCTCCATCAAGGCACTATAATGCACTTTAAATATTTTTAACATATTTATCACTCAGCCGTACCTCGTTTTCTAGCATTGCTGAGCTCTTTATGATGCATTGCCTGGGATGTTCTTCCAGCCCAGCCTAAACACTGCATCTCTTGTGTATTCCATGCTGTGTGGCGAGAGTTAAAGCATATGATGGGAGTCATGCCCCACACCCTCACAGCCAGGAAACTGCTCTAGGCTGAGGCTGGCCAAGGAAGAGGGAAGGGAATAGGCCTCTTATTACAGATTAGGAGCTTGGACACACTGCACTACAGCTCAGAAACAAGGTAGCGACACCAGGAAAGGAATCCATGACTGTCTGGGCTCCTAAATGGTTGTGTACCAGTTGGGGAGTTCTCTGTATTCACCAGTGGGTTAATGAATAAACAGAGGTAGGCCCCCAAGAACCTCAACCCATCACCCCTCTGGGGAATATACTTTCTCTTCAACTAGACCTCAGCGGGCTCCGCAGCTTGTGCCGGCCCCCTACTGGAGTAATGCCTAAACCCACCTGTAGACAGGTTTAATGAGACCTGGTGGAATCTTTAATTAATTACCACTCTAGGCACCCAGACCACTTCAGCTTAATGAAGTGGTCTGGGTGCCTGGTCCTTCTAGGGTTAACCCATTTTTTAATAAACATAGCAGTTTCAAAGAAACTGCCATGTTTATTAATGGGTTAAGCCTTCCCCCTAATCCTCTAGTGGCTGTCTCATTGACAGCCGCTAGAGGCGCTTGCATGCTTCTCACTGTGATTTTCACAGTGAGAGCACGCCAGCGTCCATAGGAAAGCATCGTAAATGCTTTCCTATGCGACCGGCTGAATGTGCCCGCAGCTCTTGCCGCGCGTGCGCATTCAGCCGACGGGGCGGAGAGGAGGAGGAGAGCTCTCCGCCCAGCGCTTGAAAAAGGTACGCTTTACCCCTTTCCAGAGCCGGGCGGGAGGGGGTCCCTGAGGGTGGGGGCACCCTCAGGGCACTATAGTGCCAGGAAAACGAGTGTTTTCCTGGCACTAAAGTGGTCCTTTAAGGGAAAAGCTGCAGTGGTTAGCTTGTCCAAGGAAGGAAGAGGTGATAGAATTATCCAGAATTAATATATATTCTTTTTCTTTAACAGTTCCAAATTGGAGAGATGGCCAATGGCCTAATAAGTAAACTGGAATTTCTGGGAATTAACAGGCAGTCTGTGTCCAATTTTCACGTCCTCCTGTTTCAGACAGAGGTGAGTTAATCACATGTTAACTTACCAGTATGGATAAATACAATATTTGTGTTCTGTGCTAGTTTTTTTATTTTTATCTTGGTAAGAATTCCATTAGCTAACAGTGTCGACTTTCTTTTAATGTATTTTATGTTGTTGCTTGGTGATTTTTGGGTAACCTATTTATTTGATCATTTGCGATGTTTGCCATAACGTGTTAATGGTTTGCTGGTTATTTCCAGACTCGTATCTCAGACTGGAGGGAAGGAGCATTGAGCGGACACTACCTGAAACGTAAACTTCAAGATGCAACAGAGCAAATAAAACAGTATGAAATAAACGCCACCCCTAAAGGCTGGTCCTGCCACTGGGACAGGTACGAATTTCCCCCCACTTTTCACCTTTCACCTCTCAAAACATGACTTGTGACATCACCACCTGACCTCGCGACCTCATCTGTCTGGAGACTGAAAGCTGCTGCCATTAGGTTCTGGGTGGGCAGACCTTGCAGCACATGCAGTGCTTGGCCCTGCACATTGGAGAAAACAAAAAGCTTTTTTATGTAAATGTACATATGCGTAGTTTCCTCATTGGACAGAAAGTTGGTTAACCCACGCAAGGTGTTGAGTGCATTGATCTGGGAGGGAATAAGGGGGGAAGCGCATGCGAGAGCTCTGTGAACATTTCAGGATGTCTGGACCCCACATTTCCTGTGTAACATCGATGAAGTTAACTGAAGCTTCAGGGCGACAGCTGTCAACGAAGAGCAAGATACTTTCTCCTGACTCAGGTCAGACCGAAATATTTCCTTTTTAAATTTTGTCTTATTTTTTTATTTTGTTTTTGCTTTTTATTTTATTTTTTTGTTACTTTTATTCTTTGTGTTTTTTTTTTTTTTTTTTTTCCTTTCTACTTTTCTATCTTGTACTTAATCGAAGATATGTACTCTTATCTTTCAGCTCCCTGAAACTAAACACACATGCCTAGTTTGCTCTAATGAGGATCTAATAGTGGATGCCAAACTTGAGCTTGGCATCCCCAGAAATGGTGCTTTCATCAACATCACAAATCTTTCCCCCACCATAAAATCTCCCTCTTTTTATTAAGCACAGTGTTTAAAGCCCAGAAAAGCAATGACAGCCCTTAATTAAATTATATAGTGTCAAAGTGTTATGGGACATATTTGTCTAACGCATTGAGCTTGGTTGCATTCACACAGTGTGTTAGACAAGCTGCCCTGTGCAGGAGGTTTATTTTTCTTTGTAAAATGCAGATGTTCTGTAAGTTTCCCTCCTGTGAGCCAAATTAAAGCCACAGGAGAGAGCACAAAACAAAGGTGATAACTGTATAGGAGCAGTAATTAAAAGCTGTGTCTGTTTTTGTGATTCAGGGATCATAGACGTTATTTCTATCTTAATGAAAACACTGGCCAATCTCAGTGGGAGTTTCCTGATGTGGACGAGGAAGAGGAGCGGGCTGCATCCCAAAATAAATCTGATGTCTCTAAGCTGGTTCAAAGGGATAAATTTGAAAGTGCCCCACCTCCTCCTCCTCCTGAGCCGCCAGAACCCGTTGCAGGTAAGATTTCCGATGGTTTTATCTATGTACAAACCTAAGTCAGTTGCCTCTCCCAAATAAAGCGTGCCTACTATGTACTGAAGAGGATGGGTTTTGAATACAAACTGTAAGAACTGCAAACGTGAAGTATTTTTGTAATACAAAGGTCAATACATAGTTACTGTAAGCTGTAGTGATTATGGTGCTTAGTGTATCTCTCTTTATGCTCACGTTGGTTTGTAATTCATGTTGTTTTTTTCAGAAATTACTCCTGTCAAGCCTGTGGTTCCGCCCAGTGGACAAGTAACACAATACTGGAACATACATCAACCACCCCTGCCTTTAGAATTACCCCCACCACCCCCTCCACCTCCTGAATCACCTCCGCCGCCGCCACCACCACCTCCTTCACCACCACCTCCCCCACCTCCGTTGGATGATGGAGAGATCCAAGAGGTGGAAATGGAGGAAGATGATGGGGAACCACCAGCCCCAGGAACAGAAGAAGTGCATGCTAAATTGCTGCACTCGGAAATCGCCGTTCACAAGGTGAGCAAAAGAGAGGCTGACCTTGGCACACTGCCTAAAACTGTCTTTTTAGATTGTAATAGGAATTTATGGAAATGGACATTTACCATATCGGTGCTCAACATAGTCAGACCTCTTTTTAACGAATGAAGGAGACTCACTGAGGTTTACTCAGGTTGTTTTGGTGGTTGTACTTCTTTAATTCTTACTGAACCCAATCAGACCTCTCCTAGCCTCTTTGATCCCTATACTTCTACTTGGCATCATTAACAGCAAGTGTCATGTTTAGGGGCTCCACAATTCCGTTCTAATGAATATATGGCTAAAATATGAACAGTTTTCTTCTTTGGTTAAAGATCCAACATGTGTGCTGATACTTATGCTGAAGGTGTGATAAACTTGCATTGTGTTGAAGAATAAAGGAAGTTTTTCTGATGTATTAACACCACCCCTCCCCTCACTTTTCTCCCAGATAAAAGGGGATCCTGCAGTTTCTGGTAAAACGTCTAAGAGGAAGGCAACAGACATGTTTGCAGAGCAGTCTGTCACCATTGGAAGCTGTGCGGTTCTCTACTCTCAGCAATCCCTCCCAGCAGGTCTGAAATTACTTTTTCTTCCCAATGAAATGCTCATTAAGGGAACAAAATGAATGGAATGACACATTTTAAAACGGTCTATTACATTTGCTTCTTTGCTTTTTAGCCAGAAAAAATAAATTTTGGTCTGTGAATAAGCACACACCTGACAGCTCCCCACACGCATCTTATTCTTTAATACAGTGAGGGGGAAAAGTATTTGATCCCCTGCTGATTTTGATCGTTTGTCTACTGACAGAGAAATGATCAGTCTATAATTTTAATGGTAGGTGTACTTTAACAATGAGAGACAGAATTAAAAAAAAAAAACACATTTCAAAAAAGTTATAAATTTGATTTGCATGTCAATGAGTGAAATAAGGATTTATTTGTTATCAAATTCTCGTGGCATACTTACAAAGAAATCAGAAAGGAGTAGGCTCACAGTAAAGGTTATTACAGCTATAAATTACGCTTTGCTAAACTGCAGTTAGGTGAAAGGTTGTCTCTTCCTTTTTCCCTCATTTTGTCACTTTATTTTAATCAAACAAAGTTTACTGTAACTCTTTAGGCAAATATACAATAATATTAAACGCACAAAGAATCTGGACTGTGAGACTGTAATGGAATATTGCATAAAAAGGAAATTCTAATGGGGGGCCGGGGGTAATGTAATTCGTGCTGGAAGGACAAAATAGGAAGAGTAATCTGCCACATCATTTTCTGACCTTCACAAAACGCCTCTCACAAGCATTGCAAATTATTCAATATGGTTAGAAACCACCAATCAAGACTATGGGATTTGTTTTGTAGATCATACAGTTTATTCTCTAACTGTATTGAATAATTTGTAAAGGTTATTAAATTAATCCCTAAATTCCCTAAAAAGATATCAAATTGTAGCACATGTAGTTATGGGAGACCTATAGATATCGATATCTTAATCTAGTTCGATTTCAGTGAAATTAAAATTGCTGCTGTTGGGTCTAAAAAAATGTTTTATTTGGAGTATGTCTGCTCAGAGAAGACTAGTAAAACCTGCTTATTAATGTGTCCTCTTTCAGCTCCACCTATGACCGCAATGAATCTCCCCGCCAATTATATGGGACTTCCACTCCAGGTTCCGTCCCCTGTAGTCATGAGCCCGTTGGACTATGCCATTCCAAATAGTATGTTACAAGCAATGCCCCACGTCATGCCACATGCCCTAATCCCAACACCTGTAGTGACAGAACCGCAACCTCCTCCACCGGCTCCAGTGGCTACCAGCAAGCAACAAACAGAAAAAACTAAAAAGACCAAGAAAGAAAAGGTACTGTTTTTTTCATCTAGAAGCTTACTTTATCCCCCTTTTTTTAAATTTACTTATTTTTATTCACAACTGTATAATCTTGTCTGTGCTTGGTTGTCATTCGTAGGTTAAAAAGAGTAAAGTTAAAATGCCATCCTTAGTCCAGAAATGGCAAAGCATACAGAAAGAGCTGGATGAAGAGGAGCTGTCCAGTTCCAGTGATGAGGATCGTTCTGTATCAAATCAGAAACGCATTGAAGATTGGAAAATTCAGCAGTTAAACAGGTACGAAGGTCATGTGATTTAGATCAATATATATTGTGTGTATAATATGAACATATGGGAAACTGCAAGTTAAAGGGAGAGTCTAAGAACAAAAACCAGTACATCTTTATGCAGTGGTTTTGGTGTAAATATCCAGTTCCTGTATTCTGACACGAGATACAGGACAGACACTGTGCTGTAGTAGCACTTCTAGTGGTTTCCTAGCAAACAGCCAGAACCACCTTCACACAGGTACTTTGTTCAGCATCATCACTCAGAATGTCTTTCGGACCTTACAGGCATATTGCTGTGAGCGTACCTGCATGTCCTGAAATGGTGAGCTCGGTACTCATGAACACTCACACCATACACATGCGTGATGTAGTATTTGATTTGTGCGTGCATGGGAGCTGTGCATGTACCGTGTGTTCTCTATTAGAAGCATTTGAATGGACAGTAGTCAAGTGTAATGACATTAGAGTAGGCAGGTGAGGTTGCTGTGTAGAAGCAGTCTCTGCACTGGAGTAAAGCGAAGTTCAAGTGAGATTTTTATTTTACAGTGTTCCTTTACTGAACATGGCTTTTTGTTTAAAGGCACCCAGACCACTTCAGTTCAGTGAAGTGATCTGGGTGCCAGACCCATCTAGTTTTAACCCTGCAGCTGAAAACATGGCAGTTTCAGAGAAACTGGCCTCTAGTGGCTCTCACTGATTTTTCACAGTGAGAAGACGCCAGCGTCTATAGGAAAGCATTGAGAAATGCTTTCCTATGGACTGATTGCGCGCATGGCTCTTGATGCGCATTCAGCGCTGACTTTCGGAAGAGGGAGATTTCCCCAGCGCCAAGGGAGTCTGGCACTGGAGAAAGGCAAGTGATTAACCCCTTCCTCCCCCTTTAGCCCTGAGGGTTGGGGGGGGACCTAAAGACCCTATAGTGCCAGGAAAACGAGTTTGTACGTTAGTATAGATTAAGCCATATCAGGAATTGTATGCACTACTTGTTAGTGTTAAATTTCAATAACAGTATAGTTTGCCCCCTTCCTGTATAAAGTATGTAATGCAATCTGATGTATTCAGACATAATGAAAGCTATGTAAATCTGCCACACATACCTGTTTTGGAATTACAGTAGGTTATATAATCGGTGCCAATGACAAGTCACCACTACGCAAACCTGCATCTGCCATTGACTCTGGATTACACAATGCTAGTCCAGCAGAGTTTGCACAAATACAATTGCTTGACTTCAAACCTGCTGTTGGAGCACTTGTTACATAGGCTGCATTGTGCTGGAAAAACGCTGATAAAATCTACTTGTAACTTCTACGGTTTTACTGCTTTATGTCATGATGGTTTGGCTGTACATATCAAAAAAGGTGGTGCACTAGGCGAATAACCGTTTACTCAATTCCTTTGTATCCATGTAAATATAACTTTCCAACTCTTTTTTTTTTTTTTTCTTTCTTTTTTTTAGTGGCTTGGCTGAGAAGAACGCAAACTTTGAAGCCCTTCCTGATAATTGGAGAGAACGTCTGAAGAGAAGGAAAATGGCTTCAAGCACGTGACACCCATTTTGAGCACTTGTATATTTTATTACTCTCCAACAGATACTGTATAAAAATTCCTCCTTGTTCATATTTGTTCCACTCAGACTGTTTTTCTTATTTCAAATCTGTGGATGACAAGTTCCTTAACATAGGTATTAACATTTAATCTATACATTCTGTTAATTACCAGCAGATGGATAGATTAAATATTACTTCTACTTACCTGATCTTTGCTTCCTGATGTGGGTGGTGGCCCCACGTTTATCCATGTGTACTCTAACTTGTATCTGCGCATCGGTGTTTGTGGGACGTGCTGGTACCCTCTCAAGCAGCAATGTTTCTAGATTCTTCCATGTTAATGACTGAGATTTAAAGGATTAACACACAAAGTCAAAATAAAATGCCATCTATACATTTAACAGCCATTTGGCTAAGCATGTATAGATGCACTTTATTTTACATGATACCAAGTCATATTTTCATGACAGGTGCCCCTCACACATGCCAGACTCGTTTCTACCTGTTGATCCGTTTTTGTATCTGTGTATTATTTAAATGTATTTTTTCCCTTTCTTCAAAAGCAAAGATTTTCTTTTGCTACTGGCCTGAAAAGTGTTTTAAAAAGGTGAAACTTTTGTAAAAAGATAAACTGTAACAATAACTTTTTATAAAATCAGTGTTTTGTTTATTTTATTTTTTTCCCCTGAAATCCTTTCTTGCCTCTAGTTGGTTGCTGTCTGCCCATCCCCAAGGAGGGCTCTAGATCGGGTAGAACCAGGAGCATTTGCTCTCCGTAGAGTACAATCTGGTAAATCTATGCACTTTAAACAAAATCTTATTAAATCATTTCCCACAGATGTGCTCCATATTTGGCTGCAAGATGACCAACGTTCCTGCTTGCATTAGTTGTTCCTAAAACTAGCTAATGCTTCTGGAATTATTTTAGATCAGTGATGTCTGGCCTTTAGTACTCCAGCTATTGTCATTTCCACCTCCAGGATGCACAACCGACCATCATGGAATCCGATAAATGCAGCATCTCGCGTATCAAGGATCGCCATCATTGTGTAGAACGATGGGAGAAATGGTTGATTTTGTTGCAATTTGTTTGGAGCAAGTTTGGGAATTTTTTTTTTTCTTAAATAATGGAAAGATGTTGCATAGAGAGGTGATAACTGACCTCCAGTGGCAGAAGTATTAAATGAGCTATATCCAACATCACAGCCTCTTTGGTTAAAGCAGGCGGTTGGCAACCTTTTGACACTCTTGATATTGTGGACTACAGCTCCCCCTGATGCTTTGCCAGCATTATGGCTGCAAAAGCATTATGGGAGATGTAGTCCATAACCTCAGGAATGGCAAAGGTTGCATATCCATTGGGGTATTCCTTACACTCGCCAGATCGCTTCCCAATGTATAGGTCAATAGATATGTCAAACCTGGTGTTTTATTGGTTTTTCCCCTTCTGGGTAGGTTGCACATTCAACTGAAGCAATCTCATTACACCGTTTAATGGCCAATAATGCATCACCTGCAAGGTGCACATTTTCCATTGGCCTATCTTTTGATCTACAGATTTGCACAATCTTTGTACATCAGTGTAAAAAAATCAACACACCGGAATTCTTGAAATATAATTGTCTAGAAATGCTGCCTACAAATGGTCATTCAGTTTGAGTTGGGAAAGTAGTTGAATTCCTAATACCGCCCCCATCACTTTATTTGCCGCTTCAGCCGACAATGGATGAGATTTAAAAGGGCTCTCCTCCCATGTTATGCTATTAAGTGGCAGATATGTCACTCCTCCCATTAGGAAGAGACTGTTCTGATCTATTAAATTTCATTTATGAATGGGTTTAATGCTTCAGCAGTGAATGCTTTGCTTCTGGAAGAAAGGAAATTGCTGTCTGTCGACGTGTGAAAAATAAATGTTTTAAATGGTCCGTAGGGTCTTTTTTTTCCCCCACCTTTTCTCTGTAAATGTTGTAAATATTAAGTAAAATACATTTTTACCTCTGAATCTGATTTGAAGGGAAAATGTTTGCTTTTTTTAATGTCACAAATTAAAATTATATTGAAACATGAATTAGTCTGTTTTAATGTGATTGTACTTGCTTTAGACCAGGCTTCCCCAAACTCCAGCCCTCCAGATGTTGCTGAACTACCACTCCAATGATTCTATGAATGAAATAGGCTAAGGATCATGGGAGTTGTAGTTCAGCAACATCTGAAGGGCTGGCGTTTTGGGAAGCCTACTTTAGACAGTGAATGCACTGTGGATACAATCAGAGTAGGACAAAATGCAGAAGCTGCCTTGGAAATACCATGAAACCTGTCAGCCAGGCTTGAAATGTGTGAAGCAAGGGACTGCATGACATTACTCGAATCTGGCATCCAGCAATTTAAAAAGGCCGTGATTTGAGGATAGATGAATAGTAAATTCCATTGTATAGCACCTGACCATAACAAACACTTTATTCATATTGGCTTGATTTTGTCATTAAGGTATTTAACTACAAACCTGTAAACACAACTTTTGTAGTATTGGTTATCAAAGTTTTTAGGTGATCTGTCCAAATTACCATCCTGAGATCCAGGCGTTAAAGATAATACAGGTACAATCTCTTAAAGGAATTGACCGTTTCCAGCCCAGTAAACACTAATGACATTGTAACGGGTGATGTATTGCCATCTTCCACTACCTGCATGATTTCGTTTGCATGTCAGTCTACAATATGACATTACAAATTTTCACAAGCATTTTGCAGAGACGTGAAACCTCAAGGGCACATGAATTTGGATACACTTGTAACTAATGCCGTCCTCTGCACATTGTTAAAATGTGCTGAACTGATCCAAATATATAGAGTATAATACCTGATTTTTTTTTTTAATATGGGATTTAAATAAAGTTTAAAACATGACTGTTCATCATTAACCATAATACTTAAAGCTACTGAATCTCCATAGAATTAATGTATTCCACTCATTTCATTTGATCTCACAAATTGTCAATCTGTGGGGTTGATAAAGCACACAATACATCCGTCCTCTTCGGAAATGTTGTTGCTGGAAGACTCTGATCTCTCATCATAAGGGCAGCTGCTACAATACAAAGGTAAATAGAGTTAATGGCCAATAATAAAGGGCACTTTTTCTACATTTTAGAGGGTAAAATATCTAGCAAATACATCCAAACTGCCTGTGATCTGTAGGAGCTCTAAATTGGAGTCCATCAGAATCTGCTTGAATGGACAGAAGCTTGCTGGTGTAAAATACCCATTTGTTCCTATGGGGATCCTTACTGGCCCATGTATGTTTGAAGACCGTTGTTCCCAAAGCAGTCCTCAAGGCATCTTTACATAAAGGTGCGTGAGGTTTTTTATTTTACCTTTGGACGTTTTAAATCACTGGAAACAGACTGGAGGTAAGATTCTGACTTGGTTAGACCATGCACTTTATTTGGAGTGTCTAATAATTCTTTCTTTGGCTTGAGCAGTAAACTGTCAAAGTAATCTGCAAATAAACAGAACACATGGTTAAAGAGGACACTAGTTATCAAAACACCTTTAACTTAAACCGTTTTGGTGTGTAGATCATGCAGTTGCATTACTCAATTCTCTGCCATTTAGGAGTTAAATCACTTTCGTTTCTGTTTATGCAGTCCCTCCACCTCCCCTGGCTGTGACTGACACATGCCTGCATGAAAACAAAATGGTTATATTTTCAATGAGATGTAACTCACTTTAAAAGTTTGTATTTCCTGCTTTGTTAATTGAACTTGAATTACATACAGGAGGCTCCTGCAAGCTATTGGCAGAGCAGGAGATAAGGAATTCTAATTTAAACAGAAATTTGCAATAAAGGGAAGTGTAAGCATTAGATGACTTGTTACAGGAAGTGTTTATGGAAGGCTGTGTAAGTCACATTCAGGGAGACGTGATTAGGCTACATACACAAAGTGATTTAACTCCTAAATGGCAAAGAATTGAGCAGTAAGACTGCAGGGGCATGTTCTATACACCAAAACTGCCTCATTAAGCTAAAGTTGTTTTGGTAGCTAGTGTCCCTCTAAATTGAGCGAATTAGCTAGTGTTTGATGCTTGTCAATAGTCACACAGGTAATGGGCTATTTACTAAAGTGAGAATGGAAAGTGAATTTCAAACTTAAGTATAAAGAGTTGAACTGGAAAATTCTCTGTCCACTATGCTTTCAGTTTAATAACTACTTCACTTTTTATTCTTCAATGAATAACACTGATAATGTCACTTAAAAAAAATAGCTCCGAGGTGGGCGTGGCCAACTGCCGAAGCAAGCGGTCGCATGGAGTGAGAGCTCCGCGCTTCGGATGACTTAAAAGCAAATCACTCCTATCATACACAGCCCACTAGAGGCAATCAAGCTCAAGAACGCGATCACAATCATGGCCCCAGCCAAACAAACAAAATTGACGGATCAAATTCGATCCGCAAGGAAAGACCGCATGCGGCCTGCACAAGATGGCGACGACGGACCAGCCTGCTCGCAACTAACTGAAGGCACACTCGAGCCAGAAGGGGAAACCTGTCCATACACGGACGCCCCAGTGACAGAAAAACGACTGTACCTCATGTTACAGGACTTTAGGGTCACTCTTCAATCTGACCTTAAAAAGGCGACCAGTGAAATCAAAAGAGAAATATCTGACCTGGGTGAGCGCACAAACCAGCTTGAAGTCCGCACAGACAACATATGCAGTGAGCAGAATGTGCTGGCAAGTACAGTACAGCACCTAGTGGAGGAACAACTACAGCTCAAACGCAAGCTGGCGGATTTGGAGGATCGGTCCCGAAGGAACAATGTCAGATTCCGCGGGATACCAGAAAAAGTGGGCCTAGAGGAACTTCCCTCATTTCTCAAAGGGCTTTGCACCACCTTACAGCCTGACATAGCCGACGGAACATGGCTACTGGACCGAGCTCACCGACTACCACGACCACCGAGGCTGGCACAAGATACGCCTCGTGATGTGATTGCAAGGTTTCACTACTTCACCTCCAAGAATGCTCTGCTGACAGCATCACGCAACCTGGACAAGCTACCTGAACCGTACACTAACATTAACATCTATGCGGACTTATCAGCTCTAACAATGGCCAGGAGAAGGGAGTTCATAACGGTGACAAAAACCTTAAGGAACCACAACATCCAATACAGATGGGGATACCCGACGAAAATCATAATATGGAGAAACAACAAGAACCACACGGTTAATGAACCAGAAGTAGGCATGCGCCTAATATGAGAATGGGGATTGTTCCCAACACAAACGACGGTAGCGGCCGCTACTGCACCACAACAAAGAATGCAAGCAGAATGGCACATGGCGGGATCGCCGACTAAAGCATAAAGGACTCTGCTCCAGGGACTCTTTCCTCACCCAACATATGCTATGTTGATCAACCTCACGTAAATATGACATATGCAATTTGACACACATGGTATGAGGGAAAAAGCACATGGCCCATGTAATACCAGACCACGTGCTGTAACTGGCTGATTGTAGCAGAAACGGGAGGAGGGGGGAGCCCCTGGGACTGTACGTATGATAACATGTATATCTAGGCAACACGCAGTGATTATGCAAGGGCTGTGTACCCCCAATTAGCATGTAAGTCATCCTCACCCCCGCTCTTAACACCGAGCGCACCCCCACGGATGAGCGCAGATACCAGCACAGAAGGCTGGTCTGCGTCTCAGCCGGAGAAGGCGCCGATCGTCATGAGGGCGCTATGTAAATACTTTGGTTATGTTTTGAAAAGTTTACTTATGTTATCCCTACCAACGTTTCTGTGTTCCCTTGTCACTCCACCCCCTCCTAGCAGCCCTATACCACTGTCAGAGCAAACATGCTTCCCACGATTTAGCAAACCGCTATCCACACAATATGGATAATACCCTAAAAATTATTTCCATGAATGTCAAGGGTCTCAATAGCCCGCATAAACGCAGGTTGCTGTCACAAGAAATGTTTCGCTCCAGGGCGGCTATAGTATGTCTCCAGGAGACTCACTTCACTATACGTAAACCACCTACCTTTAAGTTCAAACAATATGGTCAAGCCTATCATGCCATGGCTACAACTAAGTCCAAAGGGGTTTCAATCTATTTTCATGGGGACTGGGTATTCACGCCATCCAAACAATACGTCAGCAAAGATGGCAGGCTGTTAATATTAGTGGGCTCATTAAACGGCCTCCAACTGATGGTAGCCTCCCTGTATGCACCAAATGACACGCAAAAAGACTTCCTGACCAAAGCGTTCCGCAAATTAGACCAATTCAAAACGGGACACACTATTATATGTGGTGACTTTAACTGCACGCCTGACCCGCACATAGACATGCAGCGGGTACAAAATCGACCTCCTAAACAATCCACACTGTCCTTGAGCAGACACTTGACACACCTGCTGCACTCCTCTGACTACTATGACGTGTGGCGTAATCTATACTCGGGTATAAGAGACTATACATTTTATTCCCCAGTCCACATGACATACTCCAGAATTGATCTCTGCCTCTTTGACAGGAGCACACTACCACACGCTATAGACATGCACATTGGCCCTATCATATGGTCGGATCATGCCCCCCTGGAAATAACAATGAAGAAACCACACCCGGCGAGGGGAAGAGGCACTTGGCGCTTAAACGAGGCCCTACTAGAAGACCCGCACCATTTTACGCACTTGAGAGACACAATAGAAACATACTTTGAGGCTCATACACATTGTGAAACCACACTGGCAACACAATGGGTCGCGCACAAGGTAGTTATGAGGGGAGAATTCATCAAGTTGGGAGCCAACACCAAAAGAGCAGCGGGCACAGAACAAACAAAACTCACTCAAGAAATTACAGACACTGAACTCCGTCACAAATCAAACCCTTCCAAGCAAACCCACACACGACTACAGACACTCAAGACCAAATTACGCGAGTTGCAACTACAAACGACTGAGAAACATATGCGATACCTGAAACAATCTCACTACACACTAGGGAATAAAGCGGGCAAACTGCTAGCTGGCCGCTTGAAACAAAAAATACCTCCAATCCAAGATTCCCTACATATTCTCCAAAAGCGGTGACAAGATCTACAACCCCCAAGACATAGTGAATACATTAGCGGAATACTATGCGTCACTATACCAACTGCATACAGACCCAGAAGCACACCAACCTACCAAAGCAGAAATAGATTCTTTCCTAGAAAGAGTCTCCCTTCCCTGCATATCTCCAGACTTGAGTGCATACCTGACCTGTCCCTTTACTGACGAAGAAATCAGGGAAGCCATCAAATCACTCCCTAAGCACAAATCCCCAGGTCCAGATGGCCTCTCCAATTACTACTACATCAAATTCACAGACCAGTTAGCACCCCACCTCCTAAGACTATTCAATGACATTAAACAGACTGGAAAAATGCCTCGAGAAATGCTGGAAACTTTTATTGTCACATTACCCAAACCTAACAAACCCTCAAATCAGTGTGCCAATCTGAGACCGATATCTCTTCTTAATTCGGACACTAAATTATACGCTAAAATGCTAGCCACACGGGTCAAAATGCTCTTCCCTACACTTATCTCCGCTGAGCAGGCGGGATTTGTGCCGGGTAAGCAAGTGGGTGACAACACCCCACTTTCTAAACCTCATCGACTGGGCAAACCAATCCTCTCAACAGGGCCTGGTGCTGGTGTTGGACGCCGAAAAGGCGTTTGACCGCTTGCACTGGGGATACATGGAACAAACTCTGGCCAAAATGGGGCTCCCACCAGCCTTCCTAAAAAGTATCATGGCCCTTTACCACTGCCCATCAGCAAAGGTCTTCAGTACCGGCTTCTTATCCGCACCCTTTACAATACATAACGGCACGCGCCAGGGTTGTCCGCTGTCACCACTCATCTTTATCCTCTGTCTTGAACCCTTGACGAAACATATAAATAATAACGCACAAATTTGCGGACTGTCGACACCAAGGGGTATGCAGAAGTTGGCTTTATTTGCCGACGACATACTCATGTTCATAAAACAACCCATCAGCTCCATCCCTACCCTTCTAGGTCTTCTTAGCGAGTATGGAAGGGTTTCCTACTACAAGAATAACACCACTAAGACGCAAGCACTACCAATCAATCTACCGCACCAAACGCTAACGCAGCTCTCCTCTGACTACACCTTTGACTGGCGGAAAACATCTCTCACGTACCTGGGGATCAAACTGACGAAATCCCACCAGACCGTTCTTAAAGAAAACCACTACCCTGTCATAAACAAACTAAAATCGACCCTAGAACAATGGGAAAACCTAGAGATATCCTGGCTGGGCCGGGTAAATACGATTAAAATGATGGTTCTGCCCCATATTCTATACCTCTTCCGCACGTTACCAATACCACTACCCAACAAACTAATAAAATTAATGCAATCTGTCATAAATGCGCATGTCTGGAAATGAAAACCCCCGAGAGTGGCCCAACGAAACCTGAGCTTTGTCTTCACCAAAGGGGGGCTGGGCCTACCTGATATTAAGACGTACTACAGGGCATCGACTTTAGCACAGGGAGTACGCATACTGAGACTTCAAGACAGCTCCCCTAAGCCACTATGGCTAACAATGGAAGATGCCTACCTGCATCCACATAACACGTCCCACACATTATGGGCCAACGCCCCCACCGAATCTGACGGAACGTACCTCCCACGGTGCTCCCGGTTTCTGTTGAGCTCGTGGCGAACCTGGAGTCATCTGATCTTAGACCCACATTTGCTCTTCAGGGAAGCTCCCCTAGGGATCCTGACCATATTCTCTCCAGACCTGCCTTTGGCAGGCTGGATAGCCAGGGGAATACACAGAGTAAAGGACCTACTAAAGGGAAACGAACTCAAACTGTTCCCTGATCTACAGCGGGAATTCTCCCTGCCCCAAAGGGATGTGTTCCTCTACCTTAGAACAAAAAACATACTGTTACCACACACATGCAAACCTAGTACAGGGCCCACAAACCCACCCCTACTACTCAATAGGGTCCTCACCGCTAAGCTTGGAAAACCTCTATCCATGTGCTACAACGCTCTTCTGGAGCCACAATCATGTGAGAAAAGATCCTATATGAGGCAATGGGAAGGGGAACTGGGTCACCAACTAACTCTGACACAATGGTACGAGGCACTATCCAACACAAAGGGTGCATCCAAAAGTCTCTCGCTGTGGGAAGCATATTGCAAAATAGCCATGAGATGGTACCTGGTCCCACATAGACTGGCAAAGATTTACAAGGGCACATCTGAGCTCTGCTGGCGCTGTGAGGGGGGAGCGGGTACCATGCTACACATGTTCTGGGACTGCCACGCATTAGGTGCATTCTGGACACAGATCCAAAACCTTATTTCAAGCACTACAGGTCTCCTTGTTCAGTTGCGTCCAGAACATTACCTACTACACATGATTCCTGGACTCTCACCACACCCCCACAAAGCAGTACTGATAAACATACTCACGGTAGCGAAAATTTTACTAGCACAAAACTGGAAAAGCCAAACAATACCAACCATGGCTACAATCATGGAAAGATTGGATGTCATAAGCTCCTACGAGAGGATGGCTAGCAGGGTACAGGGACAGGAAAGAAAGTACGTTGGGAAATGGGCAAGTTGGAACCTTAGGTCATGAGTCTCTCCCCTTGTAGAGCACCCACCTCAGACAATACTTATCACACAGTTGACCCGCCGGACTGCGAAGATAACAGAGAAGGGAAGAACCCTGATAAATCCCAAACTGAAAGCCAAAATATTGTGAAGCAAAGCTGGGGATCCTAGATCTCCCCACCCCAAGTCACGGTTTCCCCTAACCCCCCCCTGTGTTCCTACTCCCCCTCCCCCTATAAAAAGCCGACCCACCCCAAATGACAAACAGGTCACTCCATGGTTTTACAGTCAACGCACTTCTAGGGGCAAATAATACGCCCGTATTACAATGCAAACAGAGAACGAATGTACCACATGATGTACAATGTAACCAATCTAAACAACGAACCATTATGATGGCATGTATATCTGTAAAGTAATAACGTGCATACCTGATGAAAGTATCTGACTGTAACGCAATATGTTTTCATGATGTTGGCAAAAATAAAGACTAAATATGGAAAAAAAAAAAAATATCTCCTATGGGAAGCACGCTGAGAGGCATGTCCCTAATTTACTCCTAGAAGATCCCCAAAATGCCTAGAAAAGCAACACAAGTGCGGTTTGATGTGTGCAGGAGATTCAGCAGAATTCAAATCTTATGCCACTCGACCTGTTTCATATTGAATTTCAATACCAATTTTATGTTTAAGAATAAAAAGAAACACATTTAAATTATGCAGAAAGAATGTCTTCATACACACTTGTTTATTTTCTGCAGTAGCGTTAGACTTCATAGTTATTTCCATTTTGGGGAGCCAAAATGAGTCTGAATGGAAAAATATAAAGCACGCAAGAGGGAAACTCTGCAACGGAATGAACATGGAACAACCTCCACATTGAAGCAGGGACGCTGTTTTAGTTCATGCTCGCTAGCAGCAATACGATGGGTGGCATAACTCACAGCACTAATCCATTCATACCTGAAGACACAAGGGACATGAGTGACTCTCGACGGATTCCTCTTGTCTTGCTGATCTTTGGGCTGAGGCTAAGCTGCAAATCCACTGGTGTTGCAGAGACTTCAAAGTATTTTTGTTTTTCCATGTTTGATGTGAGGCTGGGAAAGAGGGACAGCTGTTCAGAACACTTTTGTTTTGCATCGTCACATTCAGCATTTTACACCTTCACACACGAGATTGAAATCTTGAACAAGACATTTGCATGCCAAGTCACATCATTTGTTCAACATTGTTGATGATATTGGTATTTTTCATTTTAAATTCTTTATTTTAGTTGTGCAAAGATAATACAAACAAGCTTACAGTACCACAACAGCTAGAATAAGCATAGCTTCAGACAGAGATTAACAGTTTTAAGGCATTTGAGAACACTGCACATTCTTTATGGGTTAACGTGGCTTGTCACGGAGTTACATCCTATCTTATTGTTAGTAAGAATAAGCAAAGTCAAGGTATAAGAGAGATAGCAGAGTATGGTACCTCAGGCTTAGGTATACTTTATAATGCACAATACCATCTCAATAGTAGGTAGCTTAGTGGTGAATGAAAGAAACATATCTGCACTAAGAATAATGCTTGCCTGCTTATTAGCGGCTTGATGGTATAGGACTTGGTCCCAGTCAGCCTACGTCTCTTCGTTCCTGCGGGGGAGGGGGTTATGGATGATACATATTCAGGGCCGTCTTTAACGCGGGGCAAACGAGGCAGCTGCCCCGGGCCCAGTTACTCCTGGGGGGCCGAAAGCAGCTGCCCCGTGGCCCTGCCACCCACAGCGTACTCGAAAGGGGCTCACCGGGTGGCCAATACATCTCAGGTCACCTGAAGTCAGCAATGATGTATTAATGCATATACAAAGATACTACAAGAGGCTCGGTTTTCAGAAGATGGTACGTGGCCTACCCTATAACCTTTATGCAATTTCCAGTCTATTCAGGTTTTCTTTAAGTAATTTACCTACCTGTACGGTTTTATTCCTGCTGTCAGTGATGTATGCGCTACAATTGGTGCTTCTGCAAAAGAAAACAGACCTGGGCTTAAAGTATTTGGGAACAGAACACGTTTACCCTGAATCATTGAATGAGTCATTGATCGTACCTCTTTTGAGCACATTGTCTGTAACCTGTCTTCTCTTACTGTTAAAGTCCAGCATGGCATGGAATGGTGGAGGGTGCTGCTTTATAGATGATACATCTTTTGAATATGGAGGCACGCTGGCTCTCTGGATAACTGTTATAATTAGGGGCAGACGATTCCCATTTCCAGCTTCACGGGATTTGACGGTCACATGGCGATGACAAACATGATCAACCACAGAGAACTCTCCTGTGTGACAAACAGCCATTATTGAATATCAATGTAATAAGCATATTTACATATTTTGCCATATCTACAACAAGCAAGTTTGGAGCTCTAATCCTGGGAGTGATCAGTGGGAACATTCCATCGGTTTCCATGGTGATTGCTCCACGTTAGAACTTTTGCCCAAAACCGGTCTTTAGAAATATGCCTGCATAATCAGACTGACTTCTCCATGTGGCTGTCTGACTCACCGACGTAGGACGTTGGGAGTTTGTTGATCAACTGAGTCTTCACGGTAACTGATTCTGGCTTGCGAGAGAATGACAGAACAGGCTTTTCTGATAATAAAAAATACATAAATATATATATGAAGCTGATCTTTACTTGAGAAGAAACAAGATAAGTAAATTACTTGACTAAACCCAAGATATGTGACTTTGCACATTTGTTTCCAGAGAAAAGAAAATTTAGGCCAAACTAGGTTACCGTAATTGGAAAACATTTCTATTTCAGACAATTCCCAGTTTAGTAAATAATCCTTTAAAAGGTAATTTTACCTCCTACGGGGAATCACAGCAGCCCTGCACCAAGACGCACAGAAAAACTGGAATGATTATCAGGAAATGAAATATAGGAATTAGAGCAGTTAGTTGGATATTGGAGACATTTGTGACCACAGACCACAATTTAGAGTCTGTAGCAAAAAGTGCAAAAATTTTGTGAAAACTTTTTGCATGAAATATGGTATTTAGAGTTACATAGTAATCTGGGCTAAACAAAGACTTAAATCCATAAAGTTAAATCATTAAAACACATCTTTGTATGTTGTTGATTCAAAAGAAGGCAAAATAAAATTAAAGTGATGGCCACTTATGCCACAAAATGGGAAAAATCTTGACCAATTTATTTACCAAAGACAAATTGTGGAGAATAGCCCAGGAAAAAAAGTTATCCAATTTGCTAAATTTTAAATGTGTCTGTTTTATCCTACAACATGCAGTTCCCTTATTAATACTGATAAATCCCCAGTTTAGTGAATAAACCCATGAAGGTATGTGACTTCCGTTATACGACTGTAAATGTTCCTGAATGCCTTGTCCATGCCAGGTCAATGTGTTGTATGGACTGTTTCTTTTGATCGCTGCATGTTAATTGTCGGTACCTGTTGTTTGCACTGCGGATGTCTGACCCCCTGCTGAGTTCTGTGATAAAGAACCTTCCTGTGACTTCATCTGCAACAGACAAATCACAGAATGAAATGTCTTATCCATACAAATCCTATGGAACACAGTTTAAAACTATCGTTCTTAACTCCTGGGCCAGTACATTATATAACCATGTAATGCTTCATGTGAATTGATTCTCTCTTATAATTCGGGACACCAGTGTAAGTGGAGGGGGTGCTAAACCTCAACATTGGTTCAGAATCTAGTTATACTGATAACACAAATGAATCACTACCCTATACATTAATACATTAAAGGAGCACTATAGTGTTAGAAACACAAATGTGTACTCCTGACACTATAATTCTCAAATCACAGTTTAGGTGGTTGGCCACCCTTACCTTGGGTTAGAAATGTGATTTACTTCACCTTTACCTTTTTCTACCACTGCGCTGGGTTCAATGCATCTGGTCCTGCCCCGATCCACCTCCTTGGCTGACATCCTCAGAATTGATCATTTCAGCTAATCACAATGCTTCCTCATATGAAAGAGGTGGAGCCAAACACAGCCCTGGCCAATCAGCATCTCCTCAGTAGCTCTATGGGGACATTTCAGGGTGCAGCACTGACCCAGGAAGCACCTCTAGTGGCCGTCTGAGGAGTGGCTGAAAAGGCAGTGTTAACATGAAAATGCCTGCAGGAATATACTATACTCACCAGAACAACTACATTAAGCTGTAGTTGTTCTGGTGACTATAATATCCCTTTAAGAGGCCTGCTGCTGATCAGCCAAATTCCCAATATATATAGAGGTGTACGAACATATTCACAGATCATGATGTTAAATACAAGCCTTACTCACCTTAGCATTTCTCTTCTCCTTGTCATATTTCCTAGATACTTTGGAAGGTGCAGGCTTTACAGTTTGGCTAGCGGGTTCAGAAATATCCTACGATGGCACATTTTAGACAAAATGGTATCATTATTATTATTTGAATCTTTATAGCACCAACTTATTCCGCAGCATATCGATTTTTATGTATCTATTTATTTGACATTTAGAGGTGTATTCACTAAATGGACACGTTTAAGAACTCAAGTTTGAATTGTGGGGAAATCAGAGCGAATTTTAAAAAATTGTCCAAGTCAGCTATGTATTCAGTCTAGATCTTAAATTCTACCTTCAACCATCTACGCACAGTGAGTAGTGGCTGTAAACTACAACAGTTGCAGCAAATCAGCCGGGGCAGAGCATCCTAGTAGGTCCCCAGTAAACAGCAATGTTTCATCAACCTACCCCAGGGAGGAAAAGGGTCCAGCTCACCACAGCACATCTGACCTTATTTCAGTTACTTAGTATGGCCACTCATGAAGTAATAGAGCATCCACATCAATAAACCCACTTCTTTCTAGAACATCCACACCATTAAACCCACTTTATTCTAGAACATCCTCTTCATTCTAGAACATCCACACCAATAAACCCACTTCATTCTAGAGCACACAGCTCATTCTAGAGCACACAGTACCCGGAAAGCGATGCAGGACCACGCAGGGAACAGAATGATACCCGTACTGCACCAAAAAGCACTGCGAGAGCCTAAACTGCAGCGGAACCTGAAGCCTAGGGGAGGCGGCCGATCACCCGGCACGGGATCCGCTTACAAGCGAGAATCAAACACTGCCCTGCTACCCCCCCCTCTGGACCGGCGGGGGATAACCCGGTCCTCGTTGGGGACGAATACCCCCGCAATACTACTCGAACAAGCATTAAAACCTGCAGTCACACAAAACTGTCAGGACCCAATCAAGATGGCGGCGCAGGCATGGCCTGTGACGAAGATCACCCTTGCCAAGCCACCCAAGCACACCCTGGAGTTCATTGACCGGCTCTGCGCACAACTTTGGACAAAGCTCCGTACCAAGGGTCAGACCTTCAAACAAATGATGAAAGAGGTAGCGGCATGGATTCGCCCTGCAACCCGGCGCCACCTGTGTGGGTACCCGCCCAGAGCCTCCAGAGCGGCCTCCCGACGGGGACGATGCCGAAGAACAAGACAGCGGGAAACGACGACTTGTCCCTCAGGTGCCAGCAACAGCACTCGCTCTCACACATGCCAGTGCGGGACCGCCCAGCCTGCTTACCACCCAGAGGCACTGGAACCCTCCAAACAGTGGAACGCCGCTTCACATCTGAAGACTCATGCTGATGGCCGCGATACTACCTGTGCTACCGCTCAGCTTCCTATTAGTAAGAGAATCAGGCTGAGAGCCCCTCCAAGGCACATCAGAGATGGAACCAGGCGGAGGCACCGACCCAGCCCTTCTCCCTGGGACGCCAGTCGAGCCTCCAGAACCGGCATCGGCTGACCGACAGGGACTAAACCAGAGACTGGCTATGCTCCGGAGTGCCCAGACACCGGATATACTACTCGATCTCACCGTAATGTTTTTATCCAATGTGAAGTTTTATTAGCCCTTATGCCTATCTTTCATATCTTCTAGCGTTCAATATAACTATTGAATACCTAGACTGCATAAAATCTAACACTGTTCCATTACGTTTCACTCGGGTGACCCGTTGGAAAGCTTAAGCCTGCTTAAGATATGCATAATACGGTACCACACTCCCACGGATACACACGCATGCCCCACTCATCCTGGCACCCAAAGCTTTAACCCTGTGACATGTAATAAAACATAGAAGCATATAATGGGACCTAATAGTCTTAATCACAAACAGCATGCACCTCCCCGCAAACGCTTAAACGTGTCACAGCCCATTCATAATTCTATGCCAAAGTATTGATCAACCAGAAGTTAGTCATAACTTCGTGCCACGCTATTACTAAGCCATGTTGACCTCCTAACATACCAGTCATCATAACCTTACAGTATTACGCCTGCTTACTCACCACCCGGCATGCCAGGTGTCACCCTATTCACTGCTAAGCTAGTGGCATACTATTGAGTTGCCAACCATACAGGGACACTTACTGTTACAGCGTATCCCAGGTTCAACTGTTAAGCCTTGTTTAGAAAAGTACTAATTAAGCTTGATATTTACTACTCAAACGCTTATATCTTGAATCGTTATTTTGTGTTTTATATTTAAAAAAAATATATGCAAACCCAACATGCCTTAACACTGTTTTGCTAAGACCATACAAATCGAACCTGCTGATGCTGTTGTGGCGATACAGGCACAGTTGTACCTACTTGCATATCAAAAAATAAAGAATTTTAAAAAAACTAAACAAAAAAAAACAGAGGGAAAGGTGCTGCGGTGACTGTACTCCAAATAGGGGAAGATTGACTAAACTGTGAGCAAAGGGTCCAGGACTGAACTACACATAGATTGTATCCCATTCTAAGAGTTATCACAGCCAGGGTTTTTTACCAAAACAAGAATTCAAAGTGAAACTCATATTTAAGGTCACAGTATCCAAATATTTCCAGTTTGACTTAAATTTGAAATTCACTCTGAATTCTCACCTCAGTGAATAAACCTGTGTGTTTTGGGGTAAAACAATATTCCCTAAAGATAACATTTACGCTGCTTAGATAAAAATTATTATAGATACAAATTTGTAATTAAGATTTTAAATATGACAGCAGCACTAAAACACAATCTAATACACTATCTTACAGAATTCAACACAAATCAATGCTTTTTATTTCTAAGCTAAAAAAAATATGAAATGTACTTTGAAATCTCACTTTTGTGAATAACTCATAGTTTAAAATGAATCTCAATAGTTTCCTATTGAACGTATTAAGCACACAGACACACACCTTGCTGATTTCGGTGCCATCTTTCAATTGGGTTACAAATATTAGAGAAGACGTGAACAGCCAGTTGGGAGGAGGAGGCCATTTATTTTCTGGAAAATATCTTCCAGGCACACAAGACGTGCAACAGAAGCAGAAATCCTAGAATCTCTGAGTTTGGAGAGCAATTTCTGGGAAAGAAACACATTGCCTGGGGAATTGCAGTGTCTACCTCAACTAGGGCTCCCACCACTGCACATAAATCTTACCATTTTAGCTTTAGTCTATTTTCTGATTCCTTAGCTTTTGAGGTTGAAACCAGCTCATGCCTACCTCCACTGTACGACGTGCAGGAAGAACATGTAGTTTGCAAAGTATGGACGTGTGCTGCCACAAATACCTTAAAAACCTTTCACACAGGTATGATACTCCTTCAGCTGTTTTAAGTTTGTTTAAAATGGTAGGTACATTTTATTAAACTGTGTTACGTCGAGCAGTCCGCCTTACCGCAATTTCTTGTGGTTTTGGTTGGTGTTTGGTGTGACGTTTCTTATACAAGCTATTTCTCTCCTTTCGTGACCGCAGGCGTTTCTTCTTTGGGTAGAACTAGACAGGAGAATTAAACCGAGTTAGCAGATTATGCTTTTTAATCACTTTATTGTCAAATATTTATTTTTAAAGAGCGTACAGAATACTGAACACACAACGCGAACATAATGGCCAGTTAAAAAAAAAAAAGGTATTTAAAGATTGTAAATCAGTTACAGTTGCGTGCACCTGCACACTGACTGATGATGCACGCTCGCGTTCTGATTGGGACTTCCAAAGACTCTCCAAGTCACCTCAGTAACACCTGAGGGTCCCAGCAGCCAAGACAACAGAAGGCATCTGTTAATTAAAGGGTAACTATAACCATCAAAACAAGTTTAGCTTAGCAAAGCTATTTTAGCTTGTAGATTGCGGCCCTGCAGTCTCACTGCTCAATTCTCTGCCATTTAGGAGTTATTATTATTATTAGTTATTATTTAGAGTTAAATCACTTTTTTTTCTGTCCATGCAGCCCTAGCGTGACTGACTCAGCCTGCATGAAAAAATTGTTTCATTTTCAATCAAATGTTAACTTGCTTTAGATGTTGTTATCTCCTGCTGTGTAAATTAGACTTTAATCAAACACAGGAGGCTCCTGCAGGGTCTAGCAAGATATTAACAGAGCAGGAGAAAGGAAATTCCAAATTAAACAGACTGGGCAATAAAGGAAGATTAAACATTAGATCTCTTTTTACAGGAAGTGTTTAGGAAGGATGTGCAAGTCACACACAGAGAGGTGTGGCTAAGGCTGCATAAACAAAGTGATTTAACTCCTAAATTGCAGAGAATTGAACAGTGAAACTGCAGGGGCATGATCTATACACCAAAACGGCTTCATTAAGCTAAACTTGCTTTGGTAACTATAGTGTCCCTTTAAAGTTCTTTTATGCTATGCACTATGTGCAAATTCCATATTTTTTATGAAATACACAGATGGCACCACATTCAATGGAAAAGTGCCCAAATCAAGTTTTATAAATACAAGAAAAATAACAATAGAACGTGTGGGAAAAAGACACTCCATTTTTGCGAAGAGTAAAAAAGTTTATTTTGATTCATAATATAAGAGTGAATTACCACACCTCATATTGAATGAAGCAAGGATTGGCCAAAACTTCACCATTTAAACAGTGGGAGACAGAGTGAGACAGAACTGGAGAATGCACAGGATATTCAACACACATCATTCAAGTGACCAGGACGGCACAGATATCTGCTAGCTTCTGGGGGAAAGGAGAGAAGGGGAGTAGAAAACTACATATCCCATATATCTCTAATGGTCAGAGGATAATGGGATGAGAGGTTCCTGATTGGTGTTAACAAAAAAACGGCAACATTAGAAAATAGTGAAATGTATAGAGTAAGGGAACACTCCAAGCACCATAACAACTACAGATTTATGTAGTGGTTATAGTGCCAGGAGTGAACTGGCACCCCCTCCAGTTCTAAACAATATTTTGGTGCGTTTGGCTGACCTAGGCTCATCCTTCAAGCCTTGTTGCAACTCACCTTTTCTGCAATATGAAGTAAATGAGCTGGAAGTCCATCTGATTCCGAACTGTTGGATCCTCCTGTGCTGTATTAATGATAGAAGTTGAATAATAAGTGAATATGTGTCAACAATCAGAATAAGAGTGTGCTGTTACAACGGGCAGTAAATAACAGTAGACTGTCAGTTCATTGTAAACAAACTGATTATGAATCAGAGGGTGTTCGGTTCACAATACATAGCAAAAACTGGTAGCCACTATTAATATGTCCCCAGACAAGTCTGCCATGCTCTCTAGCTAGTACGAGGTTGTCCACTTTTACTGGAGAAATATAAACAAGTTACCGTCTTAAATCTTTAAAGAAACACTAGAGGAATACCCGTGAATAAATGAGTAATAAATGTACATGCCTAACGCTACAGTGTCCTAGTCACTGTTTAGTCTTTGCCAAGCAGATGCTCTGAGTATCTCCACTGAGTTAACCAAACCAGGAAGTAACTGGACCTGTTGTCTGATTGACAGTCAGGGGGGGGGTGTTACCAGGTTAATTTATATACATTTTCTATTGAAATAATTTTGTAAAATGAAAAGAGGACACGCTCTTCACACAAAGTTTTTCAGCAAGCTAAAGTGCTTTAGGGGTCTGGAGTGTACCTTTTAGTTCTTTTTTCATGAATATGCTTTTAAGCGCAGAGCATTACTGGGGCAAAACACCAAGTCAACCAAAGCAAAGTACGAAAGTGAATAATTTATAATCTGTGGGAAGGAAGATAAGTGTGGCATTCTCACCCCTGTTTGCCTGAAGGTGTGCACTGCTCACCTGGATTCAAGATCTGACAATGAGATATCGCTCAGAGTGATATCGGAATCCACACCACGTCCAAGTCGCTTCAGCTTCTCCCTTATTTCTTCTTCCACTAAGCTCTGGAGTTCAGACACACACAGCTTGAACTGCAGGGGAGAGCAGGGGAAATGAACTTACACCAGGACAGGTCACTGGGGGCGAAATGGTGACCCTGAATCCATACATTTTAAAGGCAGATAAAGTGCTTGGGGATCTGTGCACAGTGCTACATACACCAGGGATTGGATCTCTCCCCTCTACCTCACATCCCTAAGACACATAATGAATGTGACATACAGAGGACATGAATAGGTGAAGATGGTGGCAGAAAAATAAATGCAGGCAATGGACACTTGTTCCTTGCTATGGTTCTCCATACAATACAGAATCTCTCTGGAAATACATTTGCATAAAAAGCAATACAGAGTGTGTTATAAATGTACTACACAACAGAGGATCTATGTCGGTAATTCTTGTAATATGCCGTTACCTTGGTGTTGTCAGGATCACAGTAGTCCAGCAATGTGTCACAAAAGTGATGGCCCATGGATTTTAGATCGGCGGCACTGAAATGGGTGCCTTTTCTATTGCCTGTAATAAAATAAGCATAAATTATTACTATAGAAACGTGCATCGCATGGGGTCGCTGGTTATAGAGTATATTCAAATTAAAACCATCAGGCATAATATAAAACCCTGGAACATGAATTCCTAGTAATGGAGGAGTGTTAGTTTGCCACACAGAAGGAGCTACTCTAAGCCCCCACTTATTATTAGAGATCTGGTAACCAATTCTTCTGTACATTACAGTGCTGGCTATTAGATTTGTTTTCACCCCAATCTCACTGATGCTGAATTATTCTCAATTTGGGTTAAGTAAATACCACAATAGCATAACATACATTGCACATCATTGGTCATTAAGGAGTTAAGAGGCTTTGCACACATGTAACTTGTCAGTGACTGAGGTGATTAAAATGTAATCAGACTCATTTTTAGTCATCAATTTTTCATATACTCTAAAACCAAACAAAATGTGCTGAGAGTAGCCCGGTGAGATGCAAAAGATGCGTTAGAAGAGTTCTTCTATTCATGGTAGAAAGGGCTGATTAGCCACTAGCAAATCCAAGTACCACACCACCCATCAATGAGAGTTAATTGTCCAATTGTACATATACTGACTTAATGTGACACCTCGAGGTCTTTTTGTATATCACAGTTTATGATATTTGAACATATGTTGTTGTTTTTCTTCTTTATATATAAAATGTTGAGATTAGTTAGCTTTAATAGGTCTATATCCTTGCCCTGTGATAGTGTAGAAGTTTACCTATAGAATACTGCAAGGTTTAACATGTGCACCACAAAGAAAGTCCCCTCTCCCCCCAAAAAAAATATTTTCTGTGCTCAATGTGCCACTGTTTGATTTAATAAACTGAGCAGAAAATATCCTGCTTTTCCTATGAACCTGCCAATGTAGACAAAGAATTACTGAATTCATCTGCTACAGAATTTATTGATTGGAATCAATGTGAGTGTAAGTCAAAGAACATCTGGTGATTACAAGTTGTTTGCCACGATATCTATTTGGCAGTCTACATGACTGAAATTCACAGAGTGGGCTACTAACCTAGGGTAGATCCTCCAAACGTTGACTCCATGGTGTAACTATTCACGATTCCCTTTCTCCACATTACAATCCTCCCTGTTCCTTCTTTGCTTTTTTGTACTTTAAACTTACAGCCCTTGAATAAAAACTGAGAAAGAAGGAACATATCAACACTTCAAACATGACAGCAGAGACAGACAGAGAAGAGTCAATCACTAGAAGAGGGCCTATGTTATGGGACACACAATGGTACAGATGAAGGATTTCCATCTCTGATAAAATCTCAGGTTACATAGCTGAAAAGAGACATGTGTATATCAAGTTCAGCCTCACATTTGTTTTTGCTGCTGATCCAAAAGAAAGCAAACACCCAGTTTAAAGCGCTTCCAATTTTGCAACAAACTAGGAAAAAAGAAAAAAAGCCTTTGTTTTAGGCTAAATCTCCTTTCTTCCAGTCTAAATCTGTGATCTTGTGTCCTATGTACAATCCTGTTTATGAATGGATTTCCAGATAATGGTTTGTATTGGCCCCGAATATATTTGTATATTGCTATCATATCCCCTCTGATGCATGTTTTTCCCAAACTAAAGAGATTTAAAGTTGTTAATCTTTCTTTATAACTAAAATGCTCCATTCCTTTTATCAATTTTGTAGCCCGTCTCTGCACTTTTTCTAGTGTCATAATATCCTTCTTTAGAACAGGTGCCCAAAATTGCACAAAATATTCAAGGTGTGGTCTTACCAGTGATTTAAAAGAGGCAAAATTATATTTTCATTCTGAGAATGAATGCCCCTTTTTATAGATGACAATAACTTACTGGCCTTAGCAACATCTGACTGGCATTGCATATTGCTGCCTACTTTGTTGTCTATAACAATTCCTAAATCCTTCTTGTGTGTTGTTATCCCTAATTCACTGCCACTTAGGGTATAAGGTGTTTGTGAATTATTTACCCCAAAGTGCATAACTTTGCATTCTTCAACATTAAATTTAATCAAAATCAGGTCGATGGAGCCGGGTGTCCATGAGTTTAAGGACCGGGGCTGACACTCCACAACAGTCAATTAAGAATTTAGTTAGAGGGGAAAAAAACCTGAACAAAGGATCCATAAAAAATGGAATGCAGAAAAAAACGTTTTAATAATCAGCTAAAATACATGACACAACAGAGAGAGAGCACACAAAACTCAAATGCCCACACATTGTTTGCCTAATGTGGCACTTATTCATCATACTCAAATGCGTAAGTGCCACTTTCTCTCTGTTGTGTCATGTATTTTAAGGATTAAAAAAAAAATCTATATTGCCCTTTACCACTGCGATCCATGGAGTGCTTTATTCTTTGTTTTTTCTCTTCTTCCATATTGTTGGGTGAAGAACCAACTAAATTGTTATTTACTCTCATAACGGTTTTCTGTGCTTATTGATAGTGCATGGCGGGTCAGGAGGGAGATACAGAATGCTTTTTAGAGCTGGAGACCAGGCAACTTCGGCAGGTCTGATACCGGGAGGGGGTGTATTATCCCGGTGCACATGAATGTCAGCATGACTGATTGTATAGTGAAGCAATCAATCAGGACTGCCCATCTGCTGAGAGCTACAGACACACTTGTGTATGGGCTGAAATGCACTGAAACTCTTGAAAGTGAAGATAATAATTGTACAGCACCTTCCCTCAGTCCAAACAACACCAGGTGACAAGGCAGGTGATCGGAAGGACTGCAGCAAATTCTTGTGTCATACAGAAGGGCTATGTAACTTGTTAGGTTAAACTGGTGTCTGCCGTATCCCTGTAAACATACAGTATATAAAGGCATAGCTATGACTAGCCTGTAGACCTTATACTCTATGCTTTGTTCTACATTAAAATAAGTTAGAACTTCATAATGTAATAATGTCGGCCAATCAGCAGGTTCTGTTTGTACACAAGTCTGAGTAACCATCGTTTCAATGCATAATGATGAATAAAATAAAATGGATTCTCTGCTCTGTACCTTGTCAGGGGCATTTTTACTCAGCATTAGTGGGAACACTCTCTCGTGAAGTTTTGTTTCTGGTGGACCCTTGTTGTTACAGCCATACATGAAGACATTGCTCCTACGACTGTGTCCATGAAAATCACAATACAGGAGAACTTCTCGCTCGGCTACGAGCCTGAATGGCAAAGAGAAACCGAATGAACAATGAAAAGCACTTTCATTTATTTCACACAATTAGCTGAGCTCCAATGTCAACATATTGAATGGAAATGAAATACAGTGAAAAACCACTTACAATGGAAGTTTTTATATCTATACGTTCACTAAACTCCAAATTGTAGCTAATCGATATCTAAAAGGCAAAAATAGCTGATATAGAAAATGTCCCCAATGTACCTTAAGACAAGGTTTGATTATTACTGCCTGAGTTTTACCATTCGCTTCTCAATGTGTTACAGTCCGGAGTTTAGTGAATGAAACCCCAATGTATTGGGATCATTTTCAGTATTCTACCCCGGAGAAAGCTTTTCTAGACAGTTTTTTTAGGAAATTTCAGCCCAAACCAAAAAGTTTTATCAGCAATCTACAATTAGACAGACCTGACTGGATTTTGTTATTTGCTTTTTTGGGGGGAGGGAGGGGGTGGTAATTTATATTTTTTTGGTAGTTCAACACAGAAAGAGTCGCTCTTTTGTTAATCATATCAAATAATCGGCACATTTTGAGAAAACATAAAGCCTTTAGTAAACAGACTAGAAAGGCAGTATAAAGACAGCAAAATATATAATGGGTACAAATGGGCAAAAGTACCCCATTAACTTGAAATCTTTTTCATAAGTTAAAATGCTTTCAGTTCCTTTTTAACGTACCATGTATTGCTGTCTCGGCTACAGCTGTGATAGGCAGCTTTGAGCCCAGTGTGTGGACCAGGGAGACCTCACAGCTAGCTTTGTAGAAATTAATCTGGGCTCTGTTTAAGATGTCATTCATTCAATAACATAGTGAGCATCACTAAACAAGCAATGAGAGACAGAGTGGTCTCTTCTCTCCCTAACACAGAATCTCAAGGAATTGGACTCCTGCTCCCCAAAAAGATATGTATTTTAAAGATGGGCAGGCAATCTGGGGTTTAGTGTAAACAATGCAAGTTGCGGTCCATAAACACACGTGGAAGGCTGCAGTTTAACAAACCTTACCGTTTAATCATGGTCTGCGTGTGCCAAATGCAGGGGAAGGAATCCTTCAGCATGCTTCTATAGTTCCTGTTCAGGTCTCTCCCGGTTAAAGAGCAGCGATAATTTCCAACTATAACCCCATCAGGGTTCAGCATGGGGACTACCTTGAAGATAAATGTATCCCTCAAGAGCTCAGCGTCCGGAGAGCCACTCAGAAGAAAATCCAAGAAACCTTTCATCATCCAGGACCCGTTGGTCTCTCCAGGGTGGACTCTTGCCGTCACCACCACTGCTTTCTTCTTGGCAGCTGCCATAAGTTTTGAAGAGGGAGAAGTAATGGTGAGCAGATAGACTGTATTCCCAGCTAAGCTCCTACAGAGAGCTCGAAGCTTGCAATACTGAGAACGTATGGGGTCATTGGCCACACTGTGAAGATCCCTCTGTAGGTCTGAGTAAGTATATGGGTAACAGTGAGCAAAATAACAAGTGTCATCATCGTGTTGGAATTCAAAAGTCCACGTCAAACGATACAATGCATTGCCATCTTGGATTCCTGAGCTCTTATAGTACTTTATGTCATTGCCTTCTCTCCTCCAGCCTATGCCATGGAGCAAGGCTTCCTGTTCAGAATATAGTAAAGGCTTGAGGCCTGCATTGTATAGGCTGTTACTTTTCATCAAGTTGGTGATTGTGAATCGGTATGGTACACCTTTCCTCATGTTTTTCACCTGGAAGTAAAACCACTGGGTGTGTTTGCTAGTGTAGAGATCAGTGCGTAACGTTAGCTCATATTCATTTACCCCCCTGTACCAAGAGAACAAATAACAGGAACTATAATAAAAAAAACTAAAAATGGGAAGTGATACATACCCCAAATCTCTTCATATGTTTTTACATTCACAGATTTTACTAAACAGATTTTGAAGCTTGTTAAAAATGAATTGCAAAATTACAGGTTTGGTAAATAAAATCCTAAATCACCTCTTTCTGACAATATTGGCCAATGACAGGAAACGTAGCAAACATTACATTCTGCAGGTATAATTAATTTTGCAATGAGTTATTAATGCATTTTTTACAGGTGCAACACGAACATATTCCACAGGGTTATATAATAGGTCATTAACCTAAATTCAATATTATTTTTCATTCTCAGCTCATGGGATGATTAGTATAATGATATTATAGTAAAATAAACACAGTCTAATGGATTAGAAACAGACAGAGACAATTAAAGACACGATCTAAGAAAAAGCTACACAAATCTATGCTCATGCGACTTCTAAATACTTACACTTTCATGGCTTTCTGCAGGTTCCCACTTTCAAATCGAGATTCAAACTGCAGGTCGTTGTTAGTCTGTGCATTAAAACTGCCGCAAGGTGCATTGGTGGCACAGGGGCGCCCCCCTGTCCGTGAGCCAATGAAGTAGGATCCCTTATAAGCTGAAATGACATCAATGTGTTAATGAGCTACTCCTACCTATAATAATGCTTTCTACCAGACAGTCATGTAACTGAATTAAAACGTCTTGACTAAAAAGCCATGTTTTCTGTCATAATGTTTGTTCTTCACAATCTAAACAAAGCCACACACAACCCAAAAGATCCCAACTATTTTACACTAAGCAGATTCCACATTGCACATCATTATTGCTCTGTACAACGTGTGTCTAGAAGTCATTGTGATTACCTTGTTTGATTTCATATACAACTTTTCCATTTCCATCGGAAGTTCCCTGCGGCATTTGTTCTTTCCCAGTGGGCTTGTAGAAAACCTCTGGGTCTGGTGGATCCCATTCTGAAGAAGGACACGACACAATAAACTTATATAAGTAAACAATACAATCCAGTAGGCCCGTGTAAGTCCACGATCACGTAATATGCTGCCTTGAGAAACATGGCTAATCTGAAAACCCATTGTGAAAGGTCCCAGTTCCTGCCATTCACATTATCCTTAAACTCCATCTATGCACAATTTTTGGAATTTCCCATTTCTTCTAAAAGCTGATAAGTTCAAATGAATATGTCCCACAGAGAGTGTTTGGGACATGTGTGTGGAATGTAGGGGTAGGCACACTGCAATGTTAGGAGTAAGAGAGAATAGACCTACAACATGTAAGACATTTCATGACCTTCCTGGTTTTGACTCCTCCACTGTATATGCCTTTTAAAGAATGGAATACATCATTTCATTTTTACAATATTTTGTTGTGGACTTTCACAATGAAACACAATTTACTCCAAGAGCAACAGGATCTTTCATATAAGTGAATCAATATTTGCACTTTTCTTGTTGATTTACAGTTTATTAAATGATTACAAGACTTTTGATGGGCTTTCAGAGAAAATATAATTACAAGTGGTGTTCCATGGGGATGGTCTGTCCTTTTTAATATGTTCATGAGTAAAGTTGCTGAGATATGGCTTGTTTTGGGTTTGTAGTACAGTGAGGGAAAAAAGTATTTGCTCCCCTGCTGATTTTGAAAGTTTGCCCACTGACAAAGAAATGATCAGTCTATAATGTTAATGGTAGGTGTATTTTAACAGTGAGAGACAGAATAACAAAAAAATAATCCAGAAAAACACGTCAAAAAAGTTATAAATTGATTTGCATGTCAATGAGTGAAATAAGTATTTGACCCCTTCGACTTAGTACTTAGTGGAAAAACCCTTGTTGGCAATCACAGAGGTCAGACTTTTCTTGTAGTTGGCCACCAGGTCCTATTTGCAGTTCCTGACCAAGTCATTAAGATTTTGAGGCTGACATTTGGCAACTGGAACCTTCAGCTCCCTCCACAGATTTTCTATGGGATTAAGGTCTGGAGACTGGCTAGGCCACTCTAGGACCTTAATGTGCTTTTTCTTGAGCCACTCCTTTGTTGCCTTGGCTGTGTGTTTTGGGTCATTGTCATGCAGGAATACCCATCCACAACCCATTTTTTTTAAGCTCTGGCTGAGGGAAGGAGGTTCTCACCCAAGATTTGACGGTACATGGCCCCGTCCATCGTCCCTTTGATGCAGTGAAGTTGTCCTGTCCCCTAAGCAGAAAAACACCCCAAAGCATAATGTTTCCACATCCATGTTTGATGGTGGGGATGATGTTCTTGGGGTCCGCCTTCTTCCTCCTCCAGACACGGCCAGTTGAGTTGATGCCAAAGAGCTTGATTTTGGTCTCATCTGACCACAACACTTTCACCCAGTTCTCCTCTGAATCATTCAGATGTTCATTGGCAAACTTCAGACAGACCTGTACATGTGCTTTCTTAAGCAGGGGGGCCTTGCGGGTGCTGCAGGACTTCAGTCCTTCATGGTGTAGTGCGTTACCAATTGTTTTCTTGGTGACTATGGTCCCAGTTGCCTTGAGATCATTAACAAGATCCTCCCGTGTAGTTCTGGGCTGATTCCTCACCGTTCTCATGATCATTAAATCTCCACGAGGTGAGATCTTGCATGGAGCACCAGACCAAGAGACACTGACAGTTATTTTGTGTTTCTTCCATTTGCGAATAATTGCACCAACTGTTGTCACCTTCTCACCAAGGTGCTTGGCGATGGTCTTGCAGCCCATTCCAGCCTTGTGTACGTCTACAATCTTGTTCCTGACATCCTTGGACAGCTCTTTGGTCTTGGCCATGGTGGAGAGTTTGGAATTTGATTGATTGCTTCTGTGAACAGGTGTCTTTAATACAGGTAACAAGCTGAGATTAGGAGCTTTAAGAGAGTGCTCCTAATCTCAGCTCGTTACCTGTCTAAAAGACACCTGTGAGCCAGAAATCTTGATGATTGATAGGGGATCAAATACTTATTTCACTCATAGACATGCAAATCAATTTATAACTTTTTTGACATGTGTTTTTCTTGTTATTCTGTCTCTCACTGTTTTAATACACCTACCATTAAAATTATAGATTGATAATTTCTTTGCCAGTAACGTTCAAAATCAGCAGGTGATCAAATACTTTTTTCCCTCACTGTATTTGATTCTTTTATTTTCACGAAGGAATATACTGCTGTTTGCTGAACTACATACTGAACTACATAGAGTCCTAACCTCAACATCTGAGGAAAGGGATTTAGGGGTTTTTATTATAGGTAGGCAGACAATGTAATAGAGCAGCAGGAAACGCTAGCAGAATGCTTGGTTGTATAGGGAGAGGTATTAGCAGTAGAAAGAAGAAAGTGTTCATGCCATTGTACAGAACACTGGTGAGACCTCACTTGGAGTATTGTACACAGTACTGGAGACCGTATCTTCAGAAGGATATTGATACCTTAGAGAGAGTTCAGAGAAGGGCTACTAAACTGGTTCATGGATTGCGGGATAAAACTTACCAGGAAAGGTTAAAGGATCTTAACATGTATAGCTTGGAGGAAAGACGCGACGGGGGGATATGATAGAAACATTGAAATACATAAAGGGAATCAACACAGTAAAGGAGAAGAAAAACTACCACAACAAGAGGATATAGTCTTAAATTAGAGGGGCAAAGGTTTAAAAATAATATCAGGAAGTATTACTTTACTGAGAGGGTAGTGGATGCATGGAATAGCCTTCCAGCTGAAGTGGTAGAGGTTAACTCAGTAAAGGAGTTTAAGCATGCGTGGGATAGGCATAAGGCTATCCTAACTATAAGATGAGGCCGGGGACTAATGAAAGTATTTAGAAAACTGGGCAGACTAGATGGGCCAAATGGTTCTTATCTGCCGTCACATTCTATGTTTCTATGTTACTCCACACTGAGCAGTGTTTTTTTTTAGGCCACAGTAGCTGAATTAGAAAAAGAAACTCTTTATTTTCACTTCAGCTATCTGGGCCTCTAATATAAAATTACCTGGTCAATTCTGGAAGATTCACACTTTAATGAACCACCCTGATATTATGCAATTACAAAAATAGTCTGCAAACCAAAGCACCTTAATCAACAAATGTGAGAGTATAAAGTCCTTACTAATAGCACTGATGGTTTGGAAACATCCTGTAAGTTAAAGGAATCTAGTACGCATGGGCGTCCGCAGGAATTTTTCCAGGGGGGGGCATAATTGTAATGACATCCATGCTTGGTACCTTTTTGACAGTGTCATGAAAGGGAAGGGGCATAGCCATTATCACATAAAGCCAGGGTGAATAGCGTTTTCACAACTATGGTGTCAGGAATATATGTTTGTATTCCTGACACTATAGTGTTCCTTTAAGCAAATTAAAGGACATTTCTGGTCACCATAACAACTTCACCTAAATGAAAATGCTATGATGCCAGGAAGCCCCTGGGTGCTCGCTTTCCTTTAAGGGGTTAAATCGCTCTCAAATGGTTTAACCCCAAAGGCTTCCTCCAGCTCCAGGTCGCTCAGTGGTATTTGGCTTCTGAAACAGAGTGTCAGGAAGTGCAGATTGACGTCAGGCATGGGTGCCGCTGATTGGCTAGAGTGGTCAGTTGACGCTCTAAGCCAATCGCTAGTTCCCGGTTCATAAAATATTTTTACTTTTTTATGAATGGGGAGCTACTGATTGGCTTAGAGTGCCAGCTGACCGCTCTAGCCAATCAGCAACACACCTACCCAACGGCACTCTGTGCTTCCTGACACTCAGTAAATAAAAGTGAACACATTAACACCTATATTTTTTTACCTTTGGAGATGAGAAGGTCCAGCGTTTCCCTGCCAGGCACTTTACCTTTGTGCTCCTTCTGATTCTTTCTGCTCCTTTACCTTTGTGCTCCTTGCTGTCCCTTTGTGCTCCTTGCAGGCCCTTCCTGCTCATTCTCCTACTTTATGTTTGTGCTCCTTCTGCCCCTTCCAGCTCATTTCTGACCCTTTCTGCTCCTTCTACTTTACCTTTGTGCTGCTTTACCTTCCAGCTCCTTGCTGACCCTTCCTGTTCATTTCTATATATCTATAGGCTGCTGCACCCCCAAATCTATAGGCTGCTGCCCCCCTCCCCAAATCTATGGGCTGCTGCCCCCCCCAAATCTATGGGCTGCTGCCCCCAAATCTAAAGGCTGCTGCCCCCCTCAATCTATGGGCTGCTCTCACCCCCCCAAATCTGCTGCCCCCAAATCTATAGGCTGCTGCCCCTCCCCAAATCCTGCTGCCCCCAAATCTAAAGGCTGCTGCTGCCCTCAAATCTAAAGGCTGCTGCTGCCCTCAAATCTATAGGCTGCTGCCACCCTCCCCAAATCTATGGGCTGCTGCCCCCCTCCCTAAATCTATGGGCTGCTGCCCCAAATCTAAATGCTGCTGCTTCTCCCCCAAATCTATAGGCTGCTGCCCCTCCCAAAATGGGCTGCTGCCCCCACCCATGGGCTGCTGCCTCAAATCCAAAGGCTGCTGCTGCCCTCAAATCTAAAGGCTGCTGCCCTCAAATCTAAAGGCTGCTGCTGCCCTCAAATTCTAAGGCTGCTGCCTCAAATTAAAGGTTGCTGCCCCTCCCCAAATCTATGGGCTGCTGCACCCCCTCAAATCCAAAGGCTGCTGCCGCTTCCCCTCAAATCCTATGGGCTGCTGCCCCTAACCTATCTGCTGCTGCCTCCCCCAAAATCTATAGGCTGCTGCCCCTCCCAAATCATGGGCTGCTGCACTCCCCAAATCTATGGGCTGCTGCCCCCAATCTAAAGCAAGGCTGCTGCTGCCTCAAATCTAAAAGGCTGCTGCCCTCCCCCAAAGGCTGCTGCTGCCTCAAATCTAAGGCTGCTGCCCTCAAATTCCAAAGGCTGCTGCCCTCCACTCCATGGGCTGCTGCCCCCCTCACCCAAAGAAGCTGCTGCGCCTCAAATCCAGGCTGCTGCCCCCAAATCTATCTGCTGCTGCCCCCCAAATCTATAGGCTGCTGCCCCCCTCTCAAACCCTCCCCCCCATCCCCCACTCCCCTGATCTGTAGGCTGTCTCTGGCTGCATGTGTTGTTCCCCTGCGGTTTCAATCAGCAGAGAGAAGCAGGGATAAGATGCAGCTTCCTATCCCTGTCTCTCTCCATACACAGCGCCACCTACTTGCAGTTCATTTTAAATCTCACACGAAAAATAGCAGAACAAGCTGAAAAATCCAGGGGGGGGCAAGTGCCCCCTCTTGCCCCCCCTGCGGACGCCCATGCTAGTACGAGAACACTATTCAGCAGTTTTTAATATAAGTCAGCAGCAGGTAGTTACGCCTTGTGGTATATACTGAGGACAGGTTTACTGGTTTACTTTTACTGTACCAGGCTCTTACCAATATGGGTGATAGCTTTTTTGATAACATCGCATTCCTTTGGCCACCGTGGGGTTTGCACACCACTTTGTATGGAAGAATTAAATAAATCCCGGGGTTCTTTAAGACGTGGGATGACCTGTCCTTCTTGGTTATCAAATACAATTTGTTTACTCTTAAAAAGGGATCCCTCCAGCAACAGAGAGTCTACAAGAAAAATACAGTCAATGCATTATGCCAGAAAGTAATGTATTACATTTTATATCCCATAAAACCTCAGTAGCCCTCGTAAACCTTACCGCTATATCAAAAGAAGGTCAAAGCATGAAAATGTTCATTTTTCTTTGACTAGCAGAGTGTAAATGTGATGAAATGTCATGCTCTTTAAAGTGATACCAAATTATATTGGGATGACAGGTGCACTTAAAAAAGGTTGACATGCAAATAGGGTAAATATGAATAGACAGCAACATGAAGGTCTCCAGATGTCCAACATATATATTGATATATCATTCAAACAATTCACCAAATAAGGAAATATCTAATGAAAAATGTAATGGATGGACTAAACTAGCAATTCAAACACATACAGAATGCGTTTTTTTTTAGAATTAAAATCAGAACTTATATACATTAAACTGGCTCCACCTCCCACCTGCCAATCATGTTACTTCCTGGTTGTTTAGCTCAGTGAAGCTAAACTCAAGAAACAGAAAATATTTCAAGTCACCTGTTTTGCAAAGACTGTGATTGGAGAGCCACAAAAGGTCTGTACTGGGGAGGAAGGGGAGGGCTTGCAGTAGCTGCAGCTATTGCAAACCATGATTTAACATACCCCCACAGAAAACATGAAAAATAAATTACCCATTTTATTTCAGTGTTCCTTTAATGGAAAATAAGAGTTTTTGATGAGAGGGGCACCATTCCATCCTTGGATACAGTCTCCCTAATGTCAGGGCTGCACACTCATGCATACATTTTCTAAAATAATGGAACTGTTTATTCTGTATGACTACAAGCTATCTCCAAATGAAACACATTGTAAATAAATCCCCAACTCAGCCACCTAGATCACTTATTATGGACTGGGATATGAAATTCCCTGGTCAGATTCCCTGCAATTGCAAATGTAGTAAATGCATAGATGTCTATAACATGCTACTTATTCCGCCTGCCATACACACAAATGAGTTTTTTCTGATCGTCTAGAGAAGACTCCCGCTCGGAGTCACTTTCAGCCTCCTCTGTGGGTCTGCGTTGTCGTGGAGCTGTCTTTAACAGGACACTGTCATCTTTAGCTTTCAGCCCTGCAGGAAAAACACAAATTACCGCTACTGTTATTTTGGTTAATCAATAACAATTCAGATTTTTCTGTTCGCACAATAAATGGTGTTTCTTCATTTAACCATTTAAAAAGTCAATCTCAATACTGCTGAAATGCACTTCAATAAAAATGAAGCTAAAAGTATATTATTATTATTACAATTACTATTATTTATATAGCTCCAATGATTTCCTGAGCTGCTCAATTCCCACATATTTTCCTAAATAGATCGGTTATAGACGACTTTGATCACTTTACAGATTTCTTGACAATATTTGTAGACCATTAATACAGCAATCAGATAACACCTAAATATAGATGCATTTTAAAGGACAACAGTTCAATTAATGCAGTTCTTCTGTATAATTTCATAAATGTCCTAATATAAAGTGGAGAGATGGGCACTAAATGAAAGATCAAAAAATGTGATCTTTGACTTTTTAGGTGTACTCAGACTACCTCTCCTGTTAGTGGTGTATGTAAAGTATATCTCGATTACAGCAGGAGACATCCTATCCTATCCTCTACAGTACACAGTTTCTCAGATAAGGCAACATGGATTATGAGTTATCTGTAAAATCTTGCCGCATGACCACAGATGTCTATTAAAATGTATATGCCGAGTATAGAAAATCTGCCATACCATCAGTTCAGCGATGGTGTGGCAGGTTTTGTTTGACATTACTCCCATGATGCTAATGACCAGTCCAGCGATGGTGTGACAGGTTTTGTTTGACATTACTCCCATGATGCTAATGACCAGTCCAGTGATGGTGTGACAGGTTTTGTTTGACATTACTCCCATGATGCTAATGACTAGTCCAGTGATGGTGTGACAGGTTTTGTTTGACATTACTCCCATGAGGCTAATGACCAGTCCAGTGATGGTGTGGCAGGTTTTGTTCGCCATTACTCCCATGATGCTAATGACTAGTCCAGTGATGGTGTGACAGGTTTTGTTCGCCATTACTCCCATGATGCTAATGACCAGTCCAGTGATGGTGTGACAGGTTTTGTTTGACATTACTCCCATGATGCTAATGACCAGTCCAGTGATGGTGTGACAGGTTTTGTTTGACATTACTCCCATGATGCTAATGACCAGTCCAGTGATGGTGTGACAGGTTTTGTTCGCCATTACTCCCATGATGCTAATGACCAGTCCAGTGATGGTGTGGCAGGTTTTGTTTGCCATTACTCCCATGATGCTAATGACTAGTCCAGTGATGGTGTGGCAGGTTTTGTTTGACATTACTCCCATGATGCTAATGACCAGTCCAGTGATGGTGTGGCAGGTTTTGTTTGACATTACTCCCATGATGCTAATGACCAGTCCAGTGATGGTGTGACAGGTTTTGTTTGACATTACTCCCATGATGCTAATGGCCAGTCCAGTGATGGTGTGACAGGTTTTGTTTGCCATTACTCCCATGATGCTAATGACCAGTCCAGTGATGGTGTGGCAGGTTTTGTTCGCCATTACTCCCATGATGCTAATGACCAGTCCAGCGATGGTATGACAGGTTTTGTTCGCCATTACTCCCATGATGCTAATGGCCAGTCCAGTGATGGTGTGGCAGGTTTTGTTCGCCATTACTCCCATGATGCTAATGGCCAGTCCAGTGATGGTGTGGCAGGTTTTGTTTGACATTACTCCCATGATGCTAATGACCAGTCCAGTGATGGTGTGACAGGTTTTGTTTGACATTACTCCCATGATGCTAATGGCCAGTCCAGTGATGGTGTGGCAGGTTTTGTTTGACATTACTCCCATGATGCTAATGACCAGTCCAGTGATGGTGTGACAGGTTTTGTTTGACATTACTCCCATGATGCTAATGACCAGTCCAGTGATGGTGTGACAGGTTTTGTTCAACATTACTCCCATGATGCTAATGACTAGTCCAGTGATGGTGTGGCAGGTTTTGTTCGACATTACTCCCATGATGCTAATGACCAGTCCAGTGATGGTATGACAGGTTTTGTTTGACATTACTCCCATGATGCTAATGACTAGTCCAGTGATGGTGTGACAGATTTTGTTTGACATTACTCCCATGATGCTAATGACCAGTCCAGTGATGGTGTGACAGGTTTTGTTCAATATTACTCCCATGATGCTAATGACCAGTCCAGTGATGACTTAGCCTTACCTCTAAAGTAGCCATAATACTGAAGGTGGTGACGCATAAAATTTTCATAAGGGTCTGTGAAGCTCTGAAACAGAAATAAGAGTAAAAAAATAGTTTTCTCATGTTACAATTCACAAAACTATAACAGTAAGGCACTTATTCAATAAACAGTGAATGTAATGAATCAAAAACCACCAAGTGATCACTGATCTATGCAGTTTCCTCTCTGTATACTTTCCTCATCAATCTTTTTGGCATGGTTTATATGGAATAAAGCTACTGGTATTATCATAGCAGTGACTGAGGCTTTTCATTCCCCAAGAGGGAAAATATTTATTTTATGGGTTGGGCAATTGACACTAACTCAGTTACCTGGTGAATTAGGTCCAAAGAACGCTATAAACATGCGATCAGTATCTGCTGGAGTCAAGTGATTTGCATGGGAGTATAAAATATAACTTAGGTCATTGCCTGCCAGATTTGGGGTAGACACAAGTGGTTGGTTGGGCAAATTAATAGTCAAAGTACATGAACCAAACACCCATTAATTCACCTAAATAGTTGTTTTCACATAACCCATAAAGATCCATATATTATTATACGTATGTACAAACATATACACAAATGTTATCGTGAAGGATGATAATGGGCCCAGAAAGACCTGTATGGTGCAACCACGCATTTTGTATATCAGATAGGATTTCATACTATTTTAAGGTGCTAGAGGCCACTTGATGAAACAAAGACACTTGGGCTTTGAGTCCTGTTTTTTGTCAAACCAATTACAAACAACAAAAGACCCATAGTTTCCTAGCAACATAATCATTATGATAACTGTAGTGATGGAGCGTGGTGTGTCCCTTTAAACATTTAAGTACATAATCTCCACAGCACCCCATTAATACAAGTGATGTTGAGGACATAACACGCTAAAACTTTTCACACCTTGATACATCTCTTGCATAAATTAGGAGATTTTTCTCTAACAAGACCATTATTATAAAGTGGGATGACATTTTCCAATAGCAGGATGTTTTAGCAAACACTGAGAACTAATGTTTGTTGATTAAATGTAAATGTATTTATTTACATACCACAGGTTCCAGGTTTGTCTGCAGAGCAGGACACATGACAATTTCTTATCTGAGTTGAAGCTGTATTGCTAAAAATACAAAAGACATAGGATAAAAAGGGGAACGTGGTGTTATCTTACCCAGAAGCAGCAACTGAATTTTCCAACTCAATTTAAAACTTATACGTTATGTCAAAGCCTGGTATATACCCATTTCAAGCTGGTTAATTTAATGTTATGCTGACAGTTAAGTAAAACTTCAAGTCGGTCTAGTTGATTGCTAAAGTACCTAGATAAACATTATATTTAATATTAAAGGACCACTATAGGCACCCAGACCACTTCAGCTCAATGAAGTGGTCTGGGTGCCAGGTCCCTCTAGTTTTAACCCTGCAGCTGAAAACATAGCAGTTTAAGATAAACTGCTTTGTTTCACTGAGGGTTAATATAGCCTCTAGTAGCTGTCTCACTGACAGCCGCTAGAGGCGCTTCCGCGACTCTCACTGTGAAAATCACAGTGAGAAGAAGCTGGCCGTCCATAGGAAAGCATTGAGTAATGCTTTCCTATAGGCTGTTTGTATGCGCGCGGCTCTTGCCGCGCATCCGCATTTGGATCTGACGTCGGCAGGGGGTGGAGAGTTCCCCAGCACAGAGGGAGCCCGGCCATGGAGAAAGGTAAGTGGCTGAAGGGGTTTTAACCCCTTCAGCCCAGCGGGAGGGTGGCCCTGAGGGTGGGGGCGACCTAATGACCCTATAGTGCCGGGAAAATGAGTTTGTTTTCCTGGTACTAAAGTGCTAGGTATAGACCTATACCGAGGTCCTATACCTAGATCAGCACTAAGTTCAGTACTGAGTTGGGAAATTCAATAATAATCTTACATGTAGCAGGCTATAATAGCCAAAAGTCAACTGTTTGCAGTTTGTCCTAAAATGTGAAATTTGCTTTGAATTCCTGACAGTGAAGACTTTTGTGAATAATTCTGTTTTGATTTCTCTCTCACTGTTACTTATTTTCGTTCTAATTACCCAAATTCTAGTCACTATATATCCAAGAAAATCAGAAACAAAAATGCAGAACCTGACCCAACAAAATTAGAACATTAATTGTTATCCTCAAGCAACACACCTTGCCTGCCGAAGGCTACCAGCAAATTACACATTCAACAGTTTGTGTCCACAACTTCATCCTTTGTTTGTCTTAATATGCATATCTGGGCTCTCCTACTCCTCTTTGCCATCCTACTGAGATCACATTCTTAATACATATCTTACAATTTCTGTTCAACTCTCCACTCTTGTGTCACTACGAAGCTTTTTCATTATTTTATTCACAATACCCAACCCACACTAAAAACAGTGCACACCTTGAGACTTCTGTACCACCTTGTCTTTTTGTCTGCTAATCAATGTCGTCCAGGTTGGACAAAACAGACATTGTCAATGCGGAAATGTTAACTCAGCACAAGTACTGCACCTTATTGTTTTCCAGCTCTGTGAAACCTCTAAAGCACTTTAGTTTGTTGAAGAGTTTTGTGTGTGAAGAGGGTGTCCTATTTTTTGCATTTTACAAAAAGTACAGATTTCAATAGAAATAGGAAATAGAATTAATCTTGTAACACCCCCTGGCTGTCAGAGAGACAACCAGCCCTGTTTCTTCCTGGTTGTTTAACTCACTATGCTGAATTGGGAAGTCTGTGATTGGACAGCCACATAAAGTCTAGGCGGGGTTAGAAGGGGAGGGCTTACAAAGGCAGCAGACAAGAGATCTGCAGCTTTTGCAAACTGTTTTTAAATATACATTACAAAATACATAATTAAGTGGATGCAAGAGTAATGACCCTCTTAAGTGACAGTAATTGCTGGGAATGCCACCAGAAATGACAGTAATTCCTGAGAATGCCCCCGGATGTGATTGCAAATCCTAGTAATGTCCCCAGAAGTGACAGTAATTCCCATAACTGTTCCCAAGAAGTGATATTAATTCCTAGTGATGTCTCCAAGAAGTGACAATAATTCCTGTCACTGTCCCCCAGAAGTACAATTATCACTGAGGACAGTGCACCCTCTTCTAATAAATCATGCCTGTCTGCCCACCACATCCCTAGCCCCTCATGTCTGTCCCCCATCCTTAGCCCCCCTATTTTTCCCCTTACCTAGACCCCCGTGTTTGTTCCCCATCCCTAACTGCCCATGCCTCTCCCCCATCCCTAGTCCCCCCGTGTCTCCCCCATCCCTAGCCCCCCATGCCTCCCCCATCCCTAGCCCCCTGTGGCTCCCCCATCCCTATCCCGCCATGCCTCCCCCCATCCCTAGCCCCATCCGTGGCTCCCCCCATCCCTAGCCCCCCATGTCTGTCCCCCATTGGGATGGGGGGAGGCATGGGGGCTAGGGATAGGGATGGGGGAGACACATGGGGCTAGGGATGGAGGAGGCATGGGGGGCTAGGGATATAGGGGGGGAGACATGGGGGACTAGGAATGGGGGGCTAGGGATATGGGGGGAGACATGGGGGGCTAGGGATATGGGATACACAGGGGGCTAGGGATGGGGGGCTAGGGAGAGGCATGGGGATGCCTCCCCCCATCCTTAGCCCCGTGTCTCCCCCATCCCTAGCCCCCCATGACTGTCCCCCATCCCTAGCCCCCCATGCCTCCCCCCATCCCTATCCCCCTGTGTATCCCCTATCCCTAGCCCCCTGTGTCTCCCCCATCCCTATCCCTAGCCCCCCGTGTCTCCCCCCTATATCCCTAGCCCCCCGTGTCTCCCCCTATATCCCTAGTCCCCGTGTCTCCCCTTTATATCCCTAGCCCCCCATCCCTAGCCCCCATTCCTAGTCCCCATGTCTCCCCCTATATCCCTAGCCCCCATGCCTCCTCCATCCCTAGCCCCATCCGTGGCTCCCCATCCCTAGCCCCCATGACTGTCCCCCATCCCTAGCCCCGTGTCTCCCCATCCCTATCCCTAGCCCCCATGCCTCCCCCCTAGCCCCCCACATCCCTAGCCCTCCAATAATATTCTCACCAGAAGTCTCTAAGTTCCTCTCGCTCCTCCCAATTAAACTCTTAGCGGTAGCCAGGCAACGCCAGTCACGTGACGCCCCTCTGCACTTCCGGCACATTTTTCTCCTTGAAGCCTCGACCGGGATCACGTGACTTCTCCAAGATGGCGGACACGGGCAGTCAGCTCCTGCTGGGCTCCGGCCTGACAGTCCTGTCCCACCCGTTAATGTACGTCAAGATGCTGGTCCAGGTGGGTATCTCCCCTCCCCCCCTCTATGCTCTCTGTGTATTGGGGGTCCCCCCCCCCCATGATCTGTATATTGGGGTTCCCCCCCCTATGCTCTCTGTGTATTGGGGGTCCCCCTCCCTTCCCTATGATCTGTGTATTGGGGTCCCCACATGCTCCCTGTGTATTGGGGTCCCCCTCCCTTCCCTATGATCTGTGTATTGGGGTCCCCCCATGCTCTCTGTGTATTGGGGTCCTGGGAAATGCTTCCTGTCTGAGGGGTGCAGCAGGGTGTCCACCTGTCACTGATAACATGTCAATGGACAGGGCATGAAGTGTGCTGCCCTGCTGTATGCAGCATTCAGATACTGCTGGAGAGAAAGCAAGCTATGCAGGATTCCTGCAGCATAGGACTGCTGTGAACAGCAGGCAGCAGTTTCAATGAAATAAAGAAGTGGTTATTGTCCAGGAAATCTTGGTGGATATAGAAACTTTACTGAGCACATTGCTGTGTGTGGGGCAGGGTGGGGAGTGCATTGAGTGTGGGAATGGCTGAGTGAGATAAGAGTCAGTGGGAAAACAATGGCTAGTGATGTTTGGAATGATATGATCACATCCAGGCTTCAGAAGTGCTGCCCTGCAGTGTGTAGAATTCACATACAAAACAATTTAAGGATTTATTGTTTGACTTTAATCCTGCTTCATTTGAATTCTACCTGCGGCAGGGCAACACTTTTACCTGCCTGTGATCTGGGAACCCAAGCCAAGTAAGATGAGTGTCCAAGGTAAATGAGGTGGCATTAGAACATGCATTTGTAATACCTGGTTTATTAGAGTAACTAAGAAACACACACATCTTTGATACAATGCCATCCATGGAATTGTATAATAATATAGGGCATTATGTATGAAACAATTGTGTTTGCCATTTCTTTTCTAGTAAATGTGGCGTTATATGAATGCACACTGAATATACAATTTTGCCCATTAGCCATTTTCCCTCTTTTTTTTGGATACTTTCTCCTTCTAAATACATTATAAAAGCATGCAAAGCATCATGTAAATTGCAGTTCTACAACATCTGTGGATCTACCTTTTGGGCACTCCTGCTTTGGCATAAGGTATCCAGGGACACCACTTTGATTACGGTGGATTGTAGCAATTGGTCCCTAACAGGTTAATAATTTGAAGGTACTGCAGTCACCTGCTGTGTTCCAGTTTACATACATGTTCTTGCAAGTAGATGGAGTGTGCCTGAATGTTTGCAAAACTAATATATCACACACATTATCTGGGTTGAGTGAATAAATCATCTGAGTACCGGGGGAATGGCCTCCTTAGTGTTTGGTTTATTTACAGGCATGTTGAAAGTCTCTCGTCTTGCCATGTAGTTTAACCACACACATGCAAGTTAGTGAGTGTAAGACACCAGTAAATATCTAATGCCATCTTTTAGGTTATTAGTTCATACACCCCTGTTAGACCTATGGTTTTTGTTTACATAAATGTGAAATCGTGGGGAATAAGTATCTGTGGGATTAATTGACTAAACAAGACGTAGAGGACAGACAAATGGCTTGCAATTTTATAGACCCAAACACGCTTGAAAAATACCTGATTTAGAGAACCTTTCCAGTTTGGCTATTTTGTCAATTCTCCATTATTATAGGATCTGTAAAACACCTATTTGTGGCTTCTTTTAATGCTGTATGGCAATCCACTGATTGTAAAGACATTCAGGAATGTGATAGGTAGAGTGCAAAGGAGCACTATCACTTGTCAAGGTAGTTACAATGGCTGTTTAAGAATGCACATCATACAAGGAAATATTGGAAACAAATGTATGTTGTGACGCATTATGCTCATTGTTCATTTCCAGCGCCCTCTTGAAGAGTGAATGTTATATTACAGTAATTACTGTTTATTTCATCAACTGATTAACATGTTGTATTTTGGTACCCTTCACTTTTTGGGGGGATCTGGTATAAATGATCTCAAACCATTGTATTTAAGTTTTAAATCGCAGCTTTTTATTGTGGAAAGCATAATTGGGATAAAAATCATTGCAAGTGTAAAACGGGACACGCAGGTCCAAAGGCAAAACACCAATACTATGGACCACACATGGTCATAACATGGTATAGAGTGTACATATCAGCCGTAACGGAGCATGCCATTATCATCGAAATGTGAAAAACATGTTATTTAGCTATCTGTCAGCGCTTTTACAGAAGTATCACGTTAAATTTATTGTATGACCGTTATTAGTAGTTTTATTTGAGAAGAATATTAAAAAACACCAAATGCTGGTAGCTCTTCATAACGTATAGGTAGCTAAAAAAAAACACTATTAGACTTGAACTACAACTGTCATCTCCCCCAGCTGGCATTGGGTAAAGGAAGTGTGAAATTTGTAGTATACTAGATAGTGTTCCATATTGGTTATCCCTTACCGTACTGAATTTGTTTTTAGCACCAGTAATCTTCAATTCCTAGATAAGCATGTGTTATTTATACACAGTTACAGCTCTTTGGTGAAGTTCAGGATCACTTGCGTTTCAAAACTGGTTCAGCATTGTTCTCATTGTTAAGAATAATGATTTTAAGATTCACGCATTGTCTTCATGTTTGGCTCTTGAGCATCTGTGCATTTCTGCTTTGTTTACCTATCTGTTTGCCTATTCACAAATGTGTTACTATGACCACACTTATTATTTGTGTAAGTTGTTGTGTTGACATTTTAAAAAATAAAAAAACTACAATTTTTATTTTTATTTTTTTTAATAATGCACAAAATATTGGTTAAGAAAACATTTGAGCAGCGACAATGGTCAATAAATTGAGACCCTTTATTTAGAAATCTTGATGATCTTATGGTATCAACAGAGCGCCATGTTATCAGATAATACTTAATGTAATTAAACAAGCCAACATTAAATATTAGGGAGTGTCTTCTCACAATCAATGCATATGGATCCAGGCAACATGGAAAATAAATTTAAAGATTGGATTATACAGGATGGGAACTGTCCTGACTCCAAGTAGTAAATAAAAAAAAAAAAAAGGTGGTTTTTTTGGGCCTTTCCATTAGAGGAAGTTGTACTAACCTTCCAATGGTGTAGAAAAGAGTCTTCACTCTGGTGCAAAAGAAAGTACTATAAGAAACTTCAATAATTACCTTTTCAGGGTTAACTCCATCTCTAGTGGCTGTCGACTTTTGTACGCTATGCATGGGTACGTCCAGCGTCACCCAAAACCCAATAGGAAAGCATTGTATAATGCTTTCCTGTGGCGAAATCTTCATGCAAGCGTGGCCATGCACGAGCGCAGGTCTGTCAGTGGGGGAGGAGGGAAGGTTGACACGAGGCAGCGCCAAGGGACATCGGTGCTGGACCCAGGTAAGTTTTCCTGGCAGTATAGTTTGCCTTTAATGAAGCAGTTTGGGTGTAGAGATCATGCCCCTGCAGTCTCACTGATCAACTCTCTGCCATTTAATCTGGAATTTAACTTCTAAATGGCAGAGAATTGAGCAGTGAGGCTGCATGGGCATGATTTGTACACCATAGCTGTGCTTGCATTAAGCATATATTTATGTTAGTACGTATTCATAATCCTCTTATTATATTAATACTTATTCCAGATTGTACAAAAGTGACTTCTGCAGGTGATGTGTGTGTGTGTCTGAATGATGAGCCTTAAAATATGCTTTCATGAATATAATTTACAATTATAATATAAAAAATGTACATGTGATGTCTAATGCCAGTGCAGAATGTTAAAGGATCCATATAGTGTCAGGAAAACAAACTCGTTTTCCTGACACTATAGCATCCTTAGGACCCCTCCAACCTCAGGGCCCCCCTCCCTTGGCGCTGAAGGGGTTAAAATCCCTTCAATTACTTACTCTAATCCAGCACTGGGTTCCCTCGGCGGTGGTGACCTCTCCTCCCCCGCCGACGTCCGCTCCCAAGTGGAGCTGAATGCGCATGCGTGGCAAGTGCCGCGCGCGCATTCAAACAGTCCTTAGGAAAGTATTTCTCAATGCTTTCCTATGGACGTTCTGCACACTGGATGCGAAATTCGCATCCAGCGTCGCAGAAGCGCCTCTAGCGGCTGTCAGGAAGACAGCCACTAGAGGTTGGATTAACCCTGCAATGTAAACATAGCAGTTTCTCTGAAACTGCTATGTTTACATCTGAAGGGTTAAAACCTGGGGGACCTGGCACCCAGACCACTTCATTGAGCTGAAGTGGTCTGGGTGACTATAGTGGTCCTTTAATATTGTGGAAACATTTTAGTAAACTTCTGGTATTTTATTTTCTTCCTTATTTTAGTTTTACATTGTAGCTATTCTGTGCATATATATGTCATTGTAATAGTTGTACCATGTGTTTTTTCACCCTGGGACACATACTGCCTTGCGTTTTTTTGTTTTTTTTTGTTTGTTTTTTTTTTTTAACTTCACCCGAAACGTATTGGATCCATTCTGATATCCTATAGACCTTGTGATTACCTGTAAGTTGTGGAATCTGCAGGAAGTCCCAGTGATGGGGAAATAGAAAATCAAGACTTAAAGAATACCCACAAAAAATATTCTTTAAAACAATGTTACAGAAATTTGTAAACCTTATTAATTGGATCCTCCAGGCTGGAGGGGGCATGCTTTTAATAAGTTTTCTCTTTATAAAAGGATCCAAATATATTTTAAAATTGCCTATACTGGCATCCCATGTTTGCTTTCCATCTAGATGTATTGGCCATGCCTAAACTGTCATTCATTTTATCTATGAATGGAGATACATTGTGCTAGGTCTTTCTCTGAGAGAGAGGAGAGGAAGGTACTTGGGACTGGAGACCACCTTGTACTGTAACCAATGCATGTCGGGGTCTTCTATAGCAGGATTTTTACCTCCTCTTAGTGATTTTTATTTATTTTAAAGGCTCCTTGATTGTGCCAGAGGTTTCAGGGCACAGGGTCCGTTTTTGGCTCTGAGATTTGTGTATTGAGGTATTTAAATACCAATGAATATAGAGTTGGTAAATCTAATTTGTCACAGGGTAATGCTTCCAATTCTATAATAAAATAACCAGTGAAGTGTAATTGCCGTATGCCACACTGAGTATATAGGCTAATCATTACCCAGAGAGCCGCTGGACTTTGGTACTGAGCTGTAAAAGTATGTGAAGAGACAGATTAAAGGTGAATGCCCTGTTCTGCACTCATTTTTCAGATATACATAATCAATTAATTTAGTGATTTCATGTCTGGCTTTAGGGAGTGCACTGTAAATTATGTGGCCCTGTACAAGAGAATGGGGAAAAATATAGATTGCTTAAAGGGACACTATAGTCACCTAAATTACTTTAGCTAAATAAAGCAGTTTTAGTGTATAGATCATTTCCCTGCAATTTCACTACTCAATTCACTGTCATTTAGGAGTTAAATCACTTTGTTTCTGTTTATGCAGCCCTAGCCACACCTCCCCTGGCTATGATTGACAGAGCCTGCATGAAAAAAGAAAAACTGGTTTCACTTTCAAACAGATGTGATTTACCTTAAATAATTGTATCTCAATATCTAAATTGAACTTTAATCACATACAGGAGGCTCTTGCAGGGTCTAGCAAGCTATTAACATAGCAGGGGATAAGAAAATCTTAATTAAACAGGACTTGCAATAAAGAAAGCCTAAATAGGGCTCTCTTTACAGGAAGTGTTTATGGAAGGCGGTGCAAGTCACATGCAGGGAGGTGTGACTAGGGTTCATAAACAAAGGGATTTAACTCCTAAATGGCAGAGGATTGAGTAGTGAGGCTGCAGGGGTATGTTCTATACACCAAAACTGCGTCATTAAGCTAAAGTTGTTCAGGTGACTATAGTGTCCCTTTATGTGTAAAGTGTGCTATTTTTTTTTTTTTTTTTTTGCAAAAGTTCAGTTTTAAATGGAAATTTTAAACTTAAAAAAAAAATAACCTGGTTAGACCCCCTTGGCGGTCAACCAGAGAAAAGGTCATGTTACTTCCTGGTTTATTTAGCTCAGTGGAACTAAACTCAAGAGGCAGCACCTGCACTGCGAAGACTACCTATTCGGCTGCATTGGAAGTCTGTGATTGGACAGCCACAGGAAGTCTGGGTGGGGTCAGTAGGGGAGGGCTTGCAAATGATTCAGGCAAGAAAACTGCATGTTTTGCAAGCTGTAGGATATAACCCCAATGTACCAAATGCATACTTAAATGTATGCATGTTTTCATTTGGGGTATATCTACTAAACGGTGATCTTTCTTTGGGCAGTGGAGTGTCCCTTTAACTTTTTTAAGTTTATTTTACTTTATTTAGGGAATAAACTCTTCTGAGACATGGGAGTGACATTGTATTTGATTCTCTTTCTAATTGCAGTACATGTAATGCACACCCTTTTTGTGCCCAATTGCCTTGTAATCAAACTTGTTTGCCGTTTTCTCGTCTTTCCCAACCTGTAACATGACGGATTGTGTATAATTCTGGTTTGGCCCTGTGCCATGTATGAATTAGAACACTCCTAGTCATGCAGAGACAATTTCTTCCCTAATCAGTTTTGATTTTAATGTAATCTGTTTCTGTGCTTGGTATGTCATAATCACAAAATCTTTATTTATTTGTTTTAACAGTATGTTGTGAAAGGGAACTGACAAAACAGTATACAGAGTTTTTTTTGTTTTGTTTTTTTTTTAGGCCACAATATTTGAGCTGATAAAAATGGTTAGATTGGTAATTGTTATAGCCCTCCCCCCACCCCCAATCATCTGTGTTCGGCTGTAAATGAGCAATTCTCCATAATTCCTTGATTCAGTCAATACACCCCACATGCTTGCTTGTAATATCTGAAATCTGCTAGCAATAATAGCTAGCTGATCTATAAACTGTCCTGTACTAAATATTCATAAATTCAGTATGTCCTGCAGTTAAGCCAGTCAAACACTTACTTTGGGGGAAATTTTGAACCAGTGAAGCTTTGATTGCAGTATGCAGTGTGAGTTATTGAGACGTCCAGCGCTGAAAGGGTTGGGCCTCTTACTACAGTACCATATCCACTTATCAAAGCTATAAGCAATCACATGGATATAAAAGCAGACGTGTTGCATGGAGATACTGGTTATTACATATTTCAAAATATCTGCATGTTGCAGCCTTTTGGTAGATTGTATGAAATCTTCAACCTGTTATCGGAGTTTAAACCCGGTCTTCTTCTGGCATATCTTTATGGGACTTGATATACCAGCTTTAGGGGATAACGCTTTCCCAGACAAACCTTGAGCAGGGCAGAAATGTCTCTGGTGTCCATAGCGATTCAAAATGGTTGTTCCTCTGGGTCACATGAAAAGTTTAAGTTGTGTGTATGGTGAGACTCGTACCAGTCTTTAAGTTCTTAGTGCTTTTCAAGAGCATGTGGTCTTGTTGGCATGATCAGTAGGGACGTATAATAGTTTTTGCTTGCGTTTCTTTGATGGACTGTTTTTCTGCTCCCTTAGATATCACCGTTGAATAACTTTTTGTTCTAGTGCGCTCTGAATCCAACATTTCCCTTCTGCGTGGCTTTAAACTTTTTATTCTTGTTTTTTTGCTTTGTGAATATATACTTGCTTTTCCGTTTGCGCCTCTCCACTTTTTTGTGAGAAGAGTTCTGGGTCCCGTGAAAGGTATCTGTCCCATTCGTAAAGATAGGAGGACATACATCTTTGGAAGCACTGCACATTGCCTTCCTGTTGTAGAAGAAATGTTTACCCTTGGGTCTTGCTTGTGTTAGACATTCAGCAAACTGCTTGTCACACTCGCATGCCGTTCTGCCACACACATTGGATGATGTACAGTTTGTCTGATCTCGACTGCAAGAGAAATTATAGAACTCCCATTTCACCTTTGTGTGGCACTTCAGTACAATCCTGGAATGGTAATAGCAACAGTCATGAAGGAAACAACATCGATCCACCTCGTCAACTGGAAAACCGCTACCACCTGTGCCACAGTAACACCCGTACAAGTTGATACCCAACAAAGGAACCTTCATTTTATTTCTGTAACACCAAAGGGTCACCACCAGATCCAGCACACCTCGCTTATCACGAGCAAGTATCTCCATTTCGTGGCAGGCTACTTTAGACTCTAACAATATGGCAAATGTCAGGATTAAAAATGTACAACTCTTCATATCTGTATCACAATTTGCTTCATCTACAATAAGTCTTATCTGTAGGGTTAGAAATAGCAATGTCACTGAAATATACACATTTGTGACCGTTCCATCATTACAACATTCATTTTTAAAAAGCTTTTTCAACTGTACCTTTTCCTACTTGGGGTCCTTTGAGAGTAACGATCGCTGTGTCTTAGAAGCAGTTTTCTGTTTTTCTTTTAAGCACAAACTGTTTTTTGTCTTGCTATGTTTTACTATATATATAGTAGGTGGTGTTTCTTGGCCACATAATTGCTTTGTGTGTTCTGAAATTCTGTAACCCTTTCTTATTTTAAACACACATACGGGGTGGGAGAGTTCTAATAGAGTCAGTAACAGAAAACTGGGGCAAAGTTCTAAAAGTTGGAGCAGTCACCCTAGAAACCAGTGGAATCGGCAGGAACAGCTCATCGGTTTCCATGGTGAATGCATTATTTTAACTGCAATACGGTTGTTTTTCTGAACTGGTCAAATAAGGGATCAAGACTTAAGATTTTTATGGTGCTTTTGAACTTTTTTTTTTTTTTTTTTTTTACCTCTTCTTTTTTTAATTTAATTTTTTATTTAATACTGGTCCCTTAGATGACTTGCGTATTTTTGGTGTTTTTGTCCAACAGAAAAACTTTGTCCCTGAAAGGGTTACGTATTTTTTTGCAGTGGTTACGGCTGGCATGTGACAGAGAAACTAAATATACTCAATTCTGGCATCTGAGTCTGTAATTAAAATAAGTCCTAGCAAGAGACACCATATGGACCAAAAGCAGATGAGCGCTCAAAAATCCTGATTATTTCTTTTTTCTCTTTGGTAATAATTTTATACGAAACTAAAGATGGTCCGTCACAGCTTGGCATATTTAGTATTAATTCTCCAACTGAATTCTGGTGTGCGTTTCAAAGTTTAGTGAATAATCAAAAATTTAGGGATAACCTTCAATATTCCCAGCACCATAATCACTACAGCACATTGCAATAGCTGAGAACATAAATCGGAGAATGTTTCAGCTCAGTTAGATTGTTTGTTTGGGATCCCTTTTGAATTCCCTACATTTTCCAATTTGGTGAATAACCATTGGCAGCTTTTTGCCACTTACCCTGTATGTCTTGTACACAGAGTATTTTTCTTGTTGTAGGTGGGACACGAGCCACTGCCTCCTACGTTGGGAAGAAATATGTTTGGACGTCAAGTATATCAACTTCCAGGGCTATTTGCATATGGTAAGCCTCTACTGATCAATTTAGTTCTGATTCCATGTTTGCACATCATATAGGGGGACAGTAATGGGTTTAACGAGCGCTTAATGGCCTGAGACCTTCATATAGTGAGATATGTATATCAGAATTTGTTTTTATTTATCTAAAATGTATGATGTCATGTTACAAATAAACATACTGTACGGACTAAATGGCCCCAGAGCTACCCATTAGTCAGTCAATGGGAATCAATCTGCTCTGGACCACTAGGGAGCTATACTTTGGAGAGTATTGTAATTGCATTTTTAACACTAAAGATAACAATGTTTATTGTAAAATGTATCCAACCGAGCTGTCCAATTCCAGTCTCTTCTGGAAAGTTTATTTTATATCAAGTCTTGTCTTTTGGCAGCAAAACACATAATTAGCATTGATGGGAAGAGCGGACTTTTTAAAGGCCTGGCTCCCAGACTGTGTGCAGGGGCTGTAGGAACTCTCGTACATAGTAAAGTCTTGCAGGTAGGTGACTCCATAACTTTGTACACTAATCAGGGTTTTGGGTGGCAGAGCCTCTAGAGCCCTCATTTTTTAACTGCTGTGTCCCCCTTTCCCCCCCTTGTAGCGTTACCATGAACTGGAACAGAAAGAGGTAAGGATCTTTGTCTTTCCAGCTGAACCTTGACACCATGTCCTTACCAGTCATTCTAAATGTTGCTGTGTATGTTAGATCGGGTTCAGGACCATTTTCAGTCTTCATTTTGTCACGTTCCATGTATGTATATAATCTTAGCAGCTGAAAATATTGTGTGCCTGTCAGTTTAAAAAGAAATACAGGAACTAATTCTGAATGATTTCAACTGCCTCTGTTACTCCCAACAACTGTAATGATCCTGGTTATGTCCAGTACCAAGGTGTTTGACCAGTTATTGTGAATTCTAGTTTGTACCTTTTATTCGAGACACGTATTGGCCAATAGATTTTAGTGTATCCTTTAAATGTTCTTTTGTAGGATGGTGAAGCTGAACACAAAGATGGCCAAATGTCAATGGAACACGTTATCAAAGAGGTAACTGGCTTGGACATTTTATCAGATAAGTAGGCTAAGAAATCGTGGCCCACCTTGTCATATTGATTCTTAACCTTCTCTTCTTTCCCAGACTACTCAGGAGATGGTTGCTCGTTCAGCAGCTACGCTCGTTACACATCCTTTTCATGGTATGTATTACTCTGTGCCTTCCCTGGTAATCTGTTTTACTGCTTAAAATGGGACACAAGACACACCGAGAACTGTAGATAACAACAAACTGTTCTCATTAACCTACATTTTACATCTTCACTTGATGACCGAGCGCTGATTTTATTAATGGCCCCTTCAGTTCTTTAACACCATGTTCAGGAATTACTTGATTCGTATTTACAATCAGAAATTATAGTTCTCAGAGAAACGTCTATCTCATTGGTCAGATTAAGCTTTTGAAGGTTGTCTCAGACTCTCTATTGTGCTAAATTAGAATTTACTTATAAATTGGGTAATTTGGACATGTAAAGTGGCACAAGCTCATCTGCATCTTCTATCTCAATCTTATATATATTTTATAAAGTCATACTCTACCATTGTTGTATAAAATACATTTTTGAATCCCAAACCTGAGAATGCATAGTGCAACAATTGTTTTTGGTTTTTATTTGCATTCAAAGTAAATTCATAAGACGTTTTTGGTTAGATATCCTGATTCAGTTATCGTAAATATCAATTCTCATTAACATTTAAAGATCAATTAGTCAACATTATCGGTAAAGAGGGAGGGGTTGACTCATCACAGCCAAGAGAGATTTTTATAAAGCAGGATTGGGAGACTCCTTATCTCAGGGCTGTTTATTAGCCAAGTTTTACCATATCTTTTAAGCAAGAACGGGCAAGTTTACCAGCAGATACTTCCCTGTGGTGATCTAGTAGTCAGTAGTGCTCTAAAAACAAATACTGGAACAACCTTGTTCCGTGTTCTAAATGTAGAAAACAAAGCTATATATTCACCTATTTTTTTATTTATTTTTTCTGTTTTTATTTTTCCAGTGATCACGCTACGTTGTATGGTCCAGTTTATTGGTAGAGAGACCAAATATAAGTACGTATGCTTATTCCATGCTGTTGACGCTTGTGGGTTATTTGATTTTTTTATTTTTTTTGGCACGCTATGGGATGGGACAATATAGAGGGTTACCATCACCCATTTGAGAGGGCAGCCCTTTCTGGTGTAACATGCCGTAATAAAGGTCATTCCTCTGAACCTGAAATACAAGTTTTTTGCTCACTTTGAATCCCCCGGCGCTGCTTTTCCTCACCCCGTCACATTCCCTCGTGGCTGGAACAGGAGCTGAGTGCATTAGCACTCTGCTTCTTTGATTCTCTGCATGGCTGAATTGTAAAGGCGCTGGGTTATGACAGTATGATTGTGATGTCATAACATTGCACCGTGTACAATACACTCATGAGCAGCAATGAAAGTTTGCTTTTGAAATCTTTCCATTCGCGACTGGAAAACATTCTAAAGTGACTTTCCTTTTATGCTCGATGGTAGTGTCGGTCCTTTGCTCACCAGGATCAGAGAAGCACCTGGCCTGAAGCTTCCCACCACCTGAATCCACTAGTGTTCAAACCGCTGAAGTGGTTTTGGTGTTTGGAATAACCCTGTAAATGTTATTGTGGAACAGTATGGTTTATTGATTCATCAGTCTCTCCTAGCACTTTCTGGAGTGAGAGTGATCTGAAGGCAGAGTGCTCTTTTCTACACACTCGGTCTCCTTGGGATGCAAGCACACAGTTGCCTGCTCTTTACAGCCCTGGATTACCTCTAGAAATATGCCACTTGTTAGGAAAGTTGACATGCAGGATTATTTGTTTGGAGTTTGTCTGAGTGCAAAATATAATCTAATACTGCTCTCTTTCTACAGCGGGGTGTTTGGATCCATTGTGACGATATACAAAGAGGAAGGAGTTCTTGGATTCTTTGCGTATGTTCCTTTTTAAAATTTGTATTTTTATCTCCATATTTCCTGTTTGTACTCGCAATTATTATTTTTATGTAATGATCTTTGAACAGTAGGAATTAAAAATAAAAATGTGAGAGCATGTCTTAAGACACTTGATTATATTCCTAAACACAGATATTGAAGGTATTTAGATATCTATAAACTGTCTTTTTAACCCCTTAAGGACACATGACATGTGTGACGTCACGATTCCCTTTTATTCCAGAAGTTTGGTCCTTAAGGGATTAAATATTTGTACCTGCCGAGGAAAATATGGACTGTTCACGTACCCACAATCTTTTTTTGGAGACCGGATTCCATGAATAGATTGTATTTTTATTTATTTTATTATTAACGTCTGCTTGGCATTGATAACACATTCCCCTCTGTAAGTTACAAGCAATTGTAGGTAAAGCTATACTATGCTACAGTTATGTCAAGTTTATCAGATGTTCATCTGTAAACATTGGATCACTAGCACAAAAGAGCTGAATATCCAGAGAATCCACCCCAAATTCTCAAAAATATAAACTGAAAGAATATTCCTTTTAACTGAACTATGAAATGGTTAGCGGAGGAATTATCCAGTATTTTATGAAAAAGCAATGTATGCAATCTTATGGCTGGCAAAGAATTCTGGGTAATCTCCTGGCTAGCCACATGATCTGCTTTGCTTTTCTGAGAACTTTGGATATTCATTGCCACAGCAGAAGGCTCCACCAATCAGGAACATATAGAAACCTAGAATGTGACGGCAGATAAGAACCATTCGGCCCATCTAGTCTGCCCTTATTCGGTAAACCACAGGAAGTCGCTGCAGTTATAAGTGACTGTACAGGGAGGCAGTAACATTGACCTTTTTGCACCAAAGCCAACAGCTGGACCATAAGTTGTTATAGTACTTGGACTATTCATTTAAGGTGTAAGATTTCAAAAGCCAATTTGTATTGTATAAATGGCAATCTTGGCTCTTGTGAACATTTTGTAAATTAACTGACCAAACGTTATGTAGCAACCACAAGTTGGATATTCTATTTGTATTCACAGCAGTTGGACTAAATGTCCCAGAATTCTCTGCCAATCAGCAACTCTAAATGTAGTCTGAACCGTTGGACCAATATTAGAGACATCAGTTTGTGAAAGCGTTTTACGTTAATTTAGTGTAAATAATGCTGCAGTCACGTGTGACTATTTTTGATATCACCTTTGTCTTCCATTAATATAAATCAATTTTAAATTATAAAAGTACCAAAATCAAATAATGTTTTTTTCTTTTTGTGCATTATGAACCTTTTGTACATTTTTTTTTTTTTTTTTCTTTCATTTATTTAACTTTTTATTTTGTCACTTTTTTTGTTTTTAGGGGTCTTATTCCAAGACTCTTAGGAGACATACTTTCTCTATGGATCTGTAATATGGTGTCTTATTTGATCAACACTTACGCCCTGGAGAATGGGGTAAGACCCCACCACTGTGACAGTGCTTCCTCCCCCCTTTATATAAACTTTGCTGCTCCCCATGTCTGCTTGTGTCCCTAGACATTGATCCCAACTCCATGGAGCTTCCCATACAGAATCAGTGTGTGACTCTTATTTCTTCCTAGGCAGTTGGAGAGATGAAAAGTTACTCCCAGGCCGTAACAGGGGTGAGTTCTACTTCCTGAATTACTGTGCTTATACAAACCTTACATTTCAGTCCTGCTTTTAATGTTATTGTGGATTTAGTGTGGTCTAGTACAAGTAGTCCTTTTTGTGTTTTTACATTTAGGAATGCAGTTGTTTTGTTTGTTTTGTTATTTATTTATGTATTGAATCAGGCCAAACCTAATAAATATCCTGCCCTTACCCCACTGTCACATAAAGCAGAGCATTATGGGGAAACATAGGTAGATACAGACCGATTCTTGTATAGTTGTATAAAATGTATGTTCATCAAAAACATAGCCTTCTTAACCCTATCGTGTATTTGAGTTCTGATTTTTAATGCTTCACTCTGTACCCTGTCTTAGTTCATAGCCAGTATGCTGACATACCCGTTCCTACTTGTCTCTAACCTGATGGCTGTAAACAACTGCGGGTGAGTACAGATTCAAGGTAGCTGGACCGCTCTGGAGTTACCAAATTAATCCCTTCTCTTTAACTAAAGTGTTTTATTTGTTTAATTTTGTGACAGACTGGCTGGAGGAGACCTCCCTTATGCCCCTGCATATACCTCTTGGATAGACTGCTGGAAACAACTAAGCAAAGAGGTATTCTATGATCGATTATGAAGCTATTTTAAAGAGAATATGATGTATTTTTATTTGGATAGTTATCTTGATTTAAAAAATTTAAAAAAACTTGATCGCTATGTACCATCTTTACGTTTTTAGAAGATTAAAGGGACACTTTAGGCACTGTATCTGCTTTTCTCAGTTATGGTGTCTGGAGTCCCCTGGTGCTATAATTTCATTCAGCATTACAGAGCCTTTAATGTTTTTATGTTGTAATGCTTAATGAGAGTCACAGCCCATCCCCTCTCTGCTGCTTTAGTGAATCAGGAAGTATTGGCCTCATTAGAAATGGGCAGCTGTGATTGGCTCAGAGTGTCAGCTGACATTTTAGCCTATCAGAGCTCCTACTAAAGGTATGAAGTGTATGACTACAAGGAAGTGTGTGCTCTCTGCCTTAGGTACACCCCAAAAGGGGCCATACGGTGTGTGGCCAGAGAACCTTATTTAGTGCTAAACTGCTCGAAAATGGTTTAAAACTGAGGAGGGAAGGACAATGCCTGGGGACTCCACTCACTATAAGCAATTTAAAAAGATTAGTCCTAATGACTACCGTGTCCCTTTAAAGGTTACTCCAATCATCATAACCATTACAACCCACTGTAGTGGTTATGATGTGAGGGGTACCCTGGCAAGATTTCCCAGTATAGAGGCAAACTGTTTAGCTCCGGTTTGCCACTTACCTGGTTCCCACCGGGCAATCAGCCTCCCGGCATGGCCGCTGACTAGCACAAGACTTCTGCAGAGGTCTGGTGTTGATTCCGCCACTCATTATCTGGTGGCGAGCATCCGCTGAATGCTCTGAGCCAGTGCATGAAATTCTGTACAAACAAAATATGAAGTTACACACAAGTTAGACTTGAAGCACCATGACCACGACAAAGCACTTAAATAGTATTTCTACATGGAGTAATCCTTTAAGACCAGAAACCTTATTCTCCTGTCTGTATTAATTGCAAAACCTGCCTATTTTTTTTTTTATTTTTTTTTAATTGATGTGAATCATATCCATGGCCTGCAGTTCTCTGATCCTTTGTGTTATCACTGCTTTCTTCATTCTGACTTTTCCTTTTAGTCATGCCAGGCAGGTGCTGGGGAAAATGAGAGATGGGAATCATGTATAGTCAGTCATTTTTTGCGTTCACATTCAGGAGCTGCTACAGAATTGCAGCAGATCTCTCCCTCTCCCTCTCTCTCTCCCTCTCTCTCTCCCCCTCTCTCCCCCTCTCCCCCTCTCTCTCTCCTCTCTCTCTCTCTCTCTCTCTCTCTCTCTCTCCCCTCTCTCTCCCTCTCTCTCTCTCTCCCCTCTCTCTCTCTCTCTCCCTCTCTCTCCTCCCTCTCTCTCTCTCTCTCCCCTCTCTCTCTCTCTCTCCCTTCTCTTCTCTCTCCCTCTCTCTCTCTCTCTCTCTCTCTCTCTCTCCCTCTCTCTCTCTCCTCTCTTCTCCTCTCTCTCTCTCTCCCCTCTCTCTCTCCCTCTCTCTCTCCCCTCTCCTCTCCCTCTCCCCTTCTCTCCCTCTCTCTCTCCCTCTCTCTCTCTCTCCCTCTCTCCCTCCCTTCTCTCCCTCCCCCTCTCCCTCTCTCCCTCTCCCTCTCCCCCTTCCCCTCCCCCTCCCCCTTCAGGATAAGAGTGATTTTATAAATCTCCCCCAAAGTCTCAAACATTTTGGTTTTATTTAATAAACCCTTCATAATTGTGTATGGCTTGTCACCTTTTACGATGTTCTTGAGTTTTTATTTAATATATTATTGACACATAATCTCTGCATTGGTTTCAGGGTAACATAAATCGGGGGAACAGCCTGTTTTTCCGCAAGGTGCCTGCAGGAAAAAAATATGTTTTGGAACAGAAGAGATTTTATTGAAGAAACAAAGAGCAGCACTTATGCCTGTACCCATAGCCAGTCCCTCTGACTGGGGTCTGAGGAGGGTAGAGAGAATCCAAAATGTACACATTTTGTTTACAAAAATGTATGATTTTTTTATTTAAATTTTTCTCCCCCCTTTCTAATTTTGTTTTCAGAAATCATTCATTCTTGGGAACAGTTGTGTATGATTTTGTCTGAATTATAAAGTACACTATAATTTGTCTACTAGTTTATTTACTTTGCCGTATTCGCCACCAACACACTGTGCCAGGGCATTTTAGGTATCTACTAGCCAAAGTTTTTAAGCAACCTCCTTAACGTAAAGCAAGATGGGTGGCGAATACAGCTCTGTCTTCTGTGTAATATTTTTTTTTATACCCAGTGCCTACTTCTTCACTGACTGACTTCTTCCGTGTACTAAGGCTCATAAAATAGGTGCTGATAGCAGATTGCTGGGCCAAGAAACAGTATCTGCTGCTCAGCAAAAAATGCCTTTATGTGCAGAATACGTAATGATAAATGTGGGGGACTGTATCACATCTATTGCAGAAAATATCCACACACTTCTATCCACTCTTTACAAAAGTGTCTGGCTTTGGAACTCTGCAATTTACGCATCAGGCAGCTGTATATGTTTGTATCGGAGGATTAAATCACCAAGAAATAGTGATGTATAAAATGGCAGTATTTTGCTTCTAATAAACTTGTCCTTGGTGCTCTGCCTGGTTTTTTTTGTGATCCTTCTAATATTCTGAGCCACTTTGCTTTGTCTAAAAACTTGTCATACTTGACCTTGTGATCTTTCCGCAACTTAAAGGGACACTTAAAGTTAAAATTGACCCATGTTTATTTTGTTTTTTGATAATATAGAAAATTCAGCAAAAACAACCAAAATATTACAAGATTTAAATAAAAATAACCCAGTTTCAAGAAATCCCCAAGATTCAGATCATCCGTTTTAGACTCCACCTTCAGTGTAGTTTGGCTAGTTAAGCAACTTCTTTTAGGTCTGCAGAGTCTGAACTGTTGGAAAGGTTAGTGGTAACACTGCAAGGTTTGAGTAGAAGGTGTTAATATCTTTCTGTAGAAATTAGAAATGAACGGTTATCTGCCAATTTGCAGTTGATATCTCGCCTATAAATAAGTCACTTTAGAAATAACACCGGTTTCAAGTTGTGTATGTTGCTATACAGGGTAGAGGTCGACAAACATATCAGCTTATTTGCACATCAGTCCTGCTCATAGTGGAGATTTCTGGGACTTGTCACTAAATTACCATTCTATAGAACATTCACTATGCTAACTAATGAAATATATATATACACACCTGTATCTTTGGAGAAAGACTTAGAAAGACTGAAAGAGTGGGCTTATTAAGCTGTGTTTATGGATATGTTTAGGAAACGGCAAGACGCACGTATTTTAGAATGAGGGGGCACGTCAGAGGAGGCAGAGTGCTGCAAAACTTTTTTTTTTTCTTCTTCTGTGTTCCAGCTATGTCTGAGTGGGTTATTAGTAATTTTGATATGGTCAATTAACATGGAAATTTCAAACTAACATCAAACTTGTCAAGAGAATCCTGCTTACTGTAAAGATTGGAGGAGGTGTAATGGTTTTAGGGTTTGGTCTAGGCCCCTTGGTCTTAATTCTACAAGTTTACAAAGACATTTTTAGACAATTGATTATTTCCAACTTTGTGGCAACAGTTTGTAAAATGTTTCCTGTTCCAGCATGGCCATATATCTGTGCACAAAGCAAGATCCATGAAGGTAAGGTTTGAGAGAACACCTCTGGGATAAACTGTACACTTCTGTACAGATACAATCCAAAATCTAGTATAACGCCTTCTCAGAAAAATGACAGCTGTAAAATAGGTAACTCCATATTAAGGCCCAGGTGTTTTGAAATGTGATGTCCAACTAGCTCATATAGGTGTGATTATATTATAGAAGTGTACTTTTTTTTTTTGCTTTAGAGTACTTTCCTGCCACCTAGTGGTCTTTCAGTGCTGGAGAAACGTATCAGCACAGTGGTTTGCAAAGAGCACAGCAATAAGTATTTTTTTGGCACGTATGGAGTTATTCTGTGATATTTTACCATATACAGTGATGTTATTCTAAATCTTCGAGAACTGGGACAAAGCTTCTAAATCAGGACAGTACTCCCAGCTCTGTGACATTAAAATATGCTGCTCTCAGGAAATGATATCCTTCCTCCTGTAACACCATAAAAGAGGATTAAATTGCTCCAAGGAGGATTTTACATCAGAAAGATCATTCCTACATTCTCCAACAACCCCGGGTGCCTTATAAATGCGTTCAACTTGCTATTTCAGCAGACGTTCTGTGTCTCCTGACACTCGTATTGTACCCACACTAAACCCATGGGACACTACAAGACTTTTTTACGATTGGTGTTTGTTACAGTGCCACGGTAGTGTGTGTGTATGTATGTATGTATGTATGTATGTATGTATGTATGTATGTATGTATGTATGTATGTATATATATATATATATATATATATATATATACACACACACACACACACAAAAAAGGATCCAGCGCACTCACTTATCCACTAAACAGCAACTTCAATGCTGACAGATGTTAATTTTTATTTTATTTTTTTTAAACCCAATCTAGACAAAATAGGGGGGTGGGTGGGTTTAGTTACATTATATGATCATACATTGCATAAGCCTGCCACAACGTCACTGTACCCCAATCTTTGGCAGGTCCTATTCTAACAGCCTAATGTCTGCTCTTATGAGATTAACTCACTTACTTGGGGGGGGGGGAATCCATCTGGGGCTCTCTGCTGTACAAGGCTAAATAGGGCCCTGAAATGAGGCATCTGCGACAGGGAGGGGTGCAAAACCAAGGAGTTGGCTACATTCCTCCAGCTGGGTTTTGGTCCGTTATCTGACACTGGACATCCTCACAGACCTCCAGCGTCAGGGTTTCCACACATGCCATGCATGTGCATTAGGTCTCCCCGTGGGCAGAGCCTTATCCATCGCTGAGGGACTGGATTCAGGTAAGTGCCCCCTGCAGGAGGGGGGCACTCCAGGAGCCTATAGTGCCGGGAAAATGGGTTTGTTTTCCTGACATTATAGGATCCATTTTAATTCAGTATTGCAGAGTTGAAACTTTTTCCCAATTTGTATACTTAACCTAGACTTTTAAATTCCCTGGTCAATCAATGTCTATTCTGTCTAGTTTAGTAATTAATTCTGTCTCAGTACAAAATGTATGTATGCAGGTAATTTTTTGCAGGCGTGCTACTGTCTCTTTAAAATTAATATATTGTGTCTCTGTATATCACCAGGGAACCTGAATTTCGCAGCAGTTTTTATTTATATTAATCTCTTGTACCTGTCGAGGGATAAAACACACGCAACATCTATTCTGCTTTAACAGAATGGAAATGTTCAGTTGCCATGGTTACGCACATATTCCAGAGTCTGGCTGCTGTGGGATCCACCGCCTTTTCACTAAATCCGCCCGAGATTTGGATGGGCTCCTAAAGGTGTCCTGTGTTTAGTGAGAATGTCAGACCATTTTCATCCCCTACAAGAACGTAATCCGTTGTGGATGCGAAATATTTGCAGAGGTTTTATTTTTAATATGCAAAATTAGCTTCCTCTCCAGTTTAGTGCCACTACGTATTCTAATGAGAGACACTTAAAGAAATTACACACTTTAGGGCTAGCTTAAATACAATCTTTAATTAATCCAGGCATGAAGTATGCACTTTCATAAAAATTTTTATTAAAGGGGCAATCAGATAGCTATTCTAGTTCCTTTGTCATCTGTCATCATGTTACTGCTGAACTTGATTCTGGTTCTGAAAGTCCCTTTAAATGCCAGGCCTATTATGTTATATCAAGATCCACTGAGGATCAAGCTCCATTATTGTCCTCGTGACACCTTAAGTACCAAACCCTTCTCTGGTCTTCAAGTCACTTGTAATTAGTGATGTGCATGGCAAAAATATTCGGTTCGGCATTCCGAAATTCAGGATTTCGATTTCCAAAATTCGTCCGAATTTGCATTCGGAACGAAAAGAATTGCACATGTCTACTTGTAATATTGAAACCCATTTCAGTCTTTAATTCCAAACTGAATTCTAGTGTTCAATGTATCTTTAATACCAAACCACATTCTGAGGAATAGGTACCATTACTGAACTCTGTTCTGAACTTCTACCTACTTTTAATGCAGAAACCAATTCCAGGTTTCAAGATACTGAATCCCAATCTAGTCAGTCATTCAGGTAACTTTGATACCGAACCCCATTTTGGTACTCAATGTACCTTTAATAATGAACTCTGTTCTGGTCCCAAACAACCACTAATACCAATGCCCTTTCTAGTTTAGTCAAGACACCCCTTTCATCTACTGACCCCAGTTAATTGTGAATGTCAATGCCATGACGGTCCTCCCTTCAAAACCCTCATTCTGGTCTCCAAAGCACTTTCAAAACAAAAAACACATTTCGGTAATCAAGACACATTCAATACAATACCCCATTCCAGTTCTCAAAATCCCTTAGATTTCCAACTCTATTCTAGTTGTCAAAGTATCTTCTATACCAAAACCTGAGATACCACACCCCCTTTTAATTATCAAGACCCCATAACAATATCAAGTTCTCAGAGGCTATTTAACAAAATCTTGAAAAAGCTGCTTGGTAGTCAACTGCCTTTGCCAGTGGTTCCTATAACCCCAATCAGGGCACACACACAATGAGGTCTCTATGTTATTTTAGTGGATCCCCAAAACTTGGAATAAATACATTGTATCCATCAGGCACCTATCCAGGAGGTTGTTTATTGTAGGAAAACTACCACCTATGTAGTAAAATGGTGACCAGCCTGTCACTAGGAAGGTCTAATGAAGGGGTTTTGCAGAATGCTTGTGGTTATATATTGACTAAGACTTTCCCAATGTTTCATGGAGTGTGTTTTACCACTGAGGACTGGGTCATCATTGCAATGTATGAAGTCTGGGTAGTCAATAAATGATTTGATTAATAAATTACTCCTAGTGATTAAAAAAAACAAAGTTGTCATTTGTTTACATCTAGTTATTTGGTTTTATTATTTCAATTAAATTAGCAAAGCGAGCAAGGGTTCCGCCATCTTGTAGAATCTAGTTTAACCCCTTAAGGACACAACTTCAGAAATAAAAGGGAATCATGACGGAATATTTCCATCACGTGTCCTTAAGGGGTTAAAGTGAAGACTTGTGGGAAATAAAAACATTTTAAAGGCACAGTTCATAAACACTTTTGTGTAAAATAAATTAATTTTACAACTTTCTGTGCACGTCAGCTGTAGCATGAATGTTAAAGTGTAATCATATCATTTTTGCATCTTGGCACATCTGTCAACACTTGTTTTTGTCTTAGTAGAAAATAAATTATACACCAGGTGATTGCTACATATGCCTTAACTCGGGGGTCCCCAAAAGGTAGATCCCCAGGTGTTTTAAAACTACAGCTTCCATAATGCTTTGTCATTCTAATCTAAAGGCATGCAAAGCATCATGGGAATTGTAGTTCAACTATATCTGGGGATCTGCCTTAACTGCTTTTGTCCAAGCAATACCTGCATACATGTCCTCCATGTTTTCATTAGAACAAGTTTAGCCAGCAGGTTAGTTGCCCCCCAGCCTCTGGGTGGGAAGAAGTTGGTTGGCAAAGGATCATGGGAGTTGTAGTTACAAAACATCTGGAGTGTTGGCTACCTTAATGTCCTTAGATGCTCCTTACAAAGAACAGGGGATGTAAAGACTGCACAT